ACAAAAACTTCAAACCCATTTTCTTGGACGACATTCGCTAGTTTTCATTTAGCCAATTTACTAAATGACGCCTGTATTACTTACTTCTTACGCCTGTTACGCCCAATGGCGCATAGGCCGCCCACCAGTTTTCGCCAACCAACTCTATCCTGGGCTTCCCTCTCCAGTTCTGTCCAATGTTTGTTCATTCCTCTCATGTCTTTCTCTATTCATCCACCCTTGACCCACTTTAGTTATCATATTTTACAAATTTTCTTACTACTATCAGTACACCTGTTTTCCTATTATCCACTGGAACTTTTGCCTATTAGATGTAGTTACGTAATCTTTTTCATTTCATTGTGATTATCACTCAAATTGCCTTGATTGGTTTAACATTTTCATATAAATATTCATGTATATTAGAGTAAAGCCTGATGACGATCTAATCGAAAACAATATTGTTCGCTTATATGTGTTGTTCTAACTTTCTCTATTTCTCGGCGTAATGTATTCTTTGGCCTTCCTCTTTTCCTTTTGCCTTGAGGGTTCCATGTGAGGGCTTGTCTCGTGACGCAGTTAGGTGCTTTTCGTAGTGTGTGTCCTATCCACTTCCACCACCTCTTCCTGATTTCCTCCTCCACTGGAATCTGGCTTGTTCTCTCCCACAGTATGTTGTTACTGATGGTGTCTGGCCAACGAATACGAAGTATTTTGAGTAGACAGCTGTTAATAAACACTTGTATCTTCTAGATGATGCCTTTCACAGTTCTCTTCAGGTTTCCGCTCCATACAGTAGAACTGTCTTGACATTTGTATTGAAAATCCTGATTTTGGTTTTTGTTGAAAGTTGTTTGGAGTTCCAGATATTTTTCAACTGTAGAAATGCAGCTTTCGCCTTGCCAATCCATGCCCTCACATCTGCATCGGATCCACCTTTCTCGTCGATGATGCTGCCCAGATATGTAAAGTTGTTAACGTCCTCCAAGGCATCTCCATCAAGCGTGATTTGGTTGGTACATGTTGTGTTGCATCGGAGAATTTTGCTTTTTCCTTTATGTATGTTGAGACCTACTGCTGCAGAGGCTGCTGTCTACGAAGTCCTTCATTCTGTTTAACAATATAAATGATGCCTGTATACACACTTATTAGATATTCAATCAGTGAAAATAAATCATAAAACAGGAAACTTGTTATGATGGCCGGTGTGTTAAGAGATCTGAACGTGATTGATACAAGTTTACTGGCATGAGGTTAAATGATTGTAGTCTCATCTCTCTCTCTCTCTCTCTCGGTACATATATGACGTATATAAACCTCTCTCTATACATATATTGAAAAATACAAAAGGATTAAAATAGTATCATCATACAATTGATCCACGTGACAATCATTCTAATAATAATTCTAATATTTATGACTAATGGTTAATGTGATTGATTGTTTACTGACCTCAATGCTTCTTCAGCAAATGAAGAAATCAGTTCAATGTTGAAACATTTTATTCACTTTTAGAAATTAAATGACATTTTACAAAAATTAGTTTAATATAACCAAAAATGGTGTGAAAATTTCTCAGTAGTTTTAGTACAATAATGTTAATTACACTAACCTTCAAAACCTTATAATAATTATTATTATTATGTATTACACATCAGTGATTAGCTCCAGAATGGAATTCTCGGAGTTTTATTAAGAAGTTGTGAGGTATTTATCTATTAATAACAGTGTATGATGGTCGCACAATATCGTGGATTGATTCAAATGAGAAATAAACATCGTGAATAGCTGCTCAGTAGTGAAGTTAAGCGTTCTTGAGTGTAACTGAAAGTTCTAGGTTCAATCATTAGCTTTCGGATTCGCGGATGCACATTACTGATGAGTCCAATACTAGGATGGAAAAGCTGTTCAGCGTTTCAAGGTTTAGTATTGATGAACTTGAGATTGTAATGGAAATAAACTGGGAGAAGTCATCAATGGTCTGACTAATAATGATGAGCTCTGAGATAATAGAGAATGTTTGTAGCTCAGGTGGATGATTTTGAGAGATAATTTTTGTCCAGTGAGCTGAATGGGTTGATAATGGAGCTTTGATTGTTTTCCTGAACAAGATTATCAGCATAAATATCCAGTAGAAGTGAGGTGGGAAGAAATCCGAATTCCTCATTTCTATCTGTAGATTTTGCTAATGCAGTTAGTTGTTCAGAAGAAGAATAAGAAGCTTCATGATCAAATCATTCATTTCACAGAACGAAGCACCGTCAAAAGTAACGAGTTATTGATATTCTAGGGAGAGATTGTGATATATGTAAGTCATATTTATCACAAAGGAAACAGTGTCTATCTACGGCACTAGATACTCTTCACATTTCAACATGAATTAACTGAGTTTACAAGTGTGGACATTGATCAGGTGTTTCCAGTGATAAAATTCTAGTCATTAAAGTTGAACGTTCTGAGGGTTCAGCTTGTAGTAAATTCTAGATAGTTTTCATCAGGCCTTAGAACCTCTCCAGGTATACCTTGTTCTCAGTGGAATCCTAGCTGATGACAAGTCTGTGACACAGAATCAACAAAGTAAGTTGATCTAGTCAAATATCATTAATCGTTATATAAGTATATGCTTACTTCTTACTCGCTTCACCATGTGTTGTAAAAATTGTAGTGTTAATTCCATGGAAGTTGAAGTTCGTTGTTATACTACCAAATTCTTGTGGTTGGAAATAGTTTTCATTTGAGTTAGTAAGATCTGACTTAGCATCTTTAAGAGAAATAGGATTGTGTGTTGTCTGTCAACTAACAAGACACTCATTAGGAAGTAACTTGTTCCAAAAGTTTCTCTTGCGCTGCAGCCTCCAATAATCAAATTTTCCCAAAGACTCTGGATATCAGTTATAACAATAGAAACGTATTTTATCGCTTGTAAATTTCAGAATCTCAAAACTTAAGATCTATTAGGTGTACAACTCAAGCAGTTAAAGATACGACGGTTGAATTAGTTTTCTAAATTCTTAATAGAAGAGGGATTACAATGAAGAATGTAGATATCATCTGTCATCAAAGAGATTTATGATTATCAATGCCTTTGTCAATTAAGAGTTTCTCATATTAGCCAGACAGGGGTTCAGCAATACCAAACTATTTCTGTGTCCCAATAGCATGACCGACGTATCTCGAAAAAAACCACTATGGATGCGAACGACATTTGGTCCTATGTAGAGTAGTACTGTACTATTTTGGTGAGTAAAAACAATAAATTGAGTCGTGTATCTGGTTTAGTTGAATCAATGACTATTATAGTTGGCTACCGGAATTCGCAGAATGATGAAAACATCTTACCTTTGCAAAAAGAATAATCAAGCAGTTAGGTTGGCTTTTATTTCTGAAATGTCTGAAACACATAATGTTGCTGATCAAAAAACCAACAGTGTATCAACCATCCTTTCGAATCAGAGGAGGATTATGAACTCTGCAGTTCCCTTTATCCTTTGAAGAAGAATTGCAAACAATTGACATGTATCTACAACATAAAGAAACACATGATAAATTTGTAATTAATGTAACTGAGTTTAGAGTTTGTTCACCATTTAAATAGTAATAATCACAAGGTTGACAGATAACCAACCAGCCTAGGAGTTTTCATAGATTTGTTCTGTCACGCCAGTGGGTACTAGTGTGGTGCGAGCTACTTATAAGTAGTATATGACGTGAGTGTCAACGTAATGTCTGGCAGCAGAAGATGGGGGAAGGTCAAGAAAGGAAGAGTGGGAACACAATGGAATTTGTATGAAACGCATGAACAGTGACAATGGATTGATGTTTTGCAACAGGAACAGTCCAGTTCGATAGGATGAACTGATACTTTGCAAATGAACGATTTACGATATGGTTTTCCAATTTTACTGAGTAACTCTGTAATTTTCGTTAAATACAATTCGGTTGCCCCACCTGTTTTCTCGTTCACTACACTAGCACAAAACAAACCCTTATGAAGTTTCGATTCTAAGAAGTTTACTTTTTGTTTCCTCTTATTTAAATGGTGCATCAATATCGAAATTTTCGGAAGTCCTATATGTAACTGACGGAAGCTGTATGACGTCAGTACTGGGGAGCTCCTTCACAGCATGAGAGATAAAATGAATCAACATTACTAATGAAGAGAAGATAATATAAGTAAAAATTTTCATTTTGAACCTTTCCTTGCGAATTTTTAGGTATAATTTCGTGCTTTTGGCAACAGAGTTATAAATGTAATCGTATTTTGAAATCAGCATTTGGTAACATTCCTACCTGCCGTACTATGTTCATTGATTAAAATTCCAGAAATGAAGATGCTTCTTCTCAATGATGTCGTGAAACAGACAACTTAGTGTTAATTTATGGTAAAAGTAGATAATTTTGGATAAGGAAAAGTGATAATTTAGGGACATTTCACCTAACTGGGCAAATTTCAAAGAAAAGTCGTACTATTTAACTCACGCTAGGGAAAAAGGAGAAAATTGAATGCATTGCCGTCGCTAATCATATCAAGTTTACCAAAGGAATTTAGCCCAAACTTTCCCCAGAGTTCGCCTTCATTTCCTCCCGTTTGGTTGCCATGACTACCGTACAAATTCGAATGTAAATCATATTCTTAATACATTTAAACCATCATTCTGATGGAAATTCAGCATTCACAAGATAACAAATGTTTAGTTTCTGTTCCCCTTCTGAAAATTTACATGTATAATAATAAATCATTATTACTCAAAGATGATAAGTTTTCAATGGATATCTGTCAGCATGAAATCGTCTATTTAGAAATTCAAAAGCATAAATAGATTGACCAATCATATGAAACTGATCTATAGAGTCACATGAATAAAAGATTGTCTATATAAAGCTCATCTAATTCTTATCCAATCAGATAGCGAATTTCTGATTAATATACTACCAATCATATTATCTGACCTTTAAATCGTAAGATCAATCTATATAGGCATTTAAATCTATATATATAAATGAATTTAGTTTAATGGTTATTTTTAAATTGCATGAACTGTCTCACAATGACAGTCACTCCATTTATGCCAAATAATATTCCACTCATTGATGTAAGCATTTTAGATGCTAATGATCAAGAAAATATATGGAAAGTATTGCAATCAGTATTTCCTAACTGGTCAAAACAGTATACTAAAATTCGGGTATGTGATTTGTTTACAACAATTGATTTTATAATTTTCTTTATGATATTTTTTTTAGTCATTAGAAGAAGGATTATCTAATGTAGTGCTTCGTTTTGATTATAATAATAAAACAAATGAACCTGAAACTATTTTAATGCGTATTCGAACAAAATTATCAGATTTTATTGTTAATAGATGGGATGAAATAAAACACATGCATTTACTTCATGAACTTGGTGGTGAACAAAAATTATATGCAGTATTTCAAAATGGTCTAGTTTATTCATTTATTAAAGGATCTACAATAAGTGTGGATAAATTTTCAGTACCAAAGTATAGTGAGTAAGTACATTATTGATAAGTATTTATTTACATACTCCATAGCTATTATTTTAAGTTTATTGTGTAAGTGTTTCTTTTCATCATTGTGATGAATACTTCGTTTGTGACTTTATCTGAAATTTTTCTGAAGCTAAGATATGATACCGACTCTGAGTGATTCTGCATTTAACCTTGTTATGTTATAATCCCAATTGTTGGATTGAAAAGAGTTCGAAACTAGTGTCAAGGATTAAAATTAAAAGTTACAGTCCGGATTCGAGGTGAGGAATTACGGTTAGACTTACATCACGAACTGACAGAAGCCAACAGCACGAACTCTTTTCAACCACATCGTCGAATGAATTTCTCACAAAAATCCAAGAAGCACTGTTTTAAATCTGACCGGTTCATCTATATACTTAATGTAAATAGGGCCGATGGAATTAAAGCATATCCGATATAAGATTGTTTTGTGGTACGCTGACTGAAACATTCTTAATCTATCAGCGCTAGCGGGTAGATGGAGAAGGTTCCGGGATATTCTTGCGTAAAAATCATAAATATGGTATCGTGTTTATTACTATGATTCTTTTGCATTCAGCTTGGTTTGTCAGAATATAATTAACTACCTGTTCAAGTCTCGTTCTGATTTTGGGGAACAGTTGAGCAGTTGCGCAGTACTGATAGCTAGGTTTTAAAACCAGACTAGTAACATTTAGTTTCACTAAAACTAAATATGCCGTCATCACTAGAAATGCTGTCCTTGACGACAATGTAAATCGTTTCCTGAACCTTCTGATTATGTTGATTAGTTTCAGACATGATGAATATAAATGAGTTATGTTTATGTTCAAAAAGTGACTAGCTTCGTGAGGAGACGTGACCAATGGAGTTCAACCCTGTCGGATGTAGGCAGTAACTACCAAAGACAAATGGGTGAGGTCGCGCAAAATCCCTAGATCAATCAGATTTAGACATTAACACCGTTGGATGCCAGCCCAGTGGTCCGATGGTAAGGCACGCGCCTACAATGCCGAGGTTCCCGCGTTCGAGTCCTGCGAGGAGCAGGAGTCGTGGGTGCGCACTGCTGATCAGTCCCATACCATGACGAAACGGCCGTCCAGTGCTTCCAGGTTTCTAATGGTGGTCTAACAATGATTGATTTTGGTGATTTCGAAAGTGTATACATTTATTCTCGTTCTTCAGTTTCATTCCTTTTTTCCAATCATTTTTTATCTAGTTTTCTTTTTATGTGTAAAGCCGGCTAGTAATTTGACTCCTTTGTTATTTTTCTTGTTAATTTCGTCTGGCTGTGATGTGGTTATCTGAATCAATGAACATTTCACTCAAATGCTATTTTGATGTCTCTAACCTGATATTCATTGATTCTTAGTTTGTGCATAACCTGTTTTGCAAACATCATTTCGGCATTTCCATCCAGTATTAAGCCTACCTGCATTAGAGAAAATTTTATGCACGAATGTGACAATCGTTTAAATTTAATATTGTAATAATTAGGTGAAACACAAAGATTAAAGATAAATAAAAATGAATGCAGAGAGAATGTTTGACTGCAATGCGGGTGATTTATTAGTGTTGTTTTGCATGCTAAATTAGTGAATAATTGCATAACTGTTAGCCCGTTTGTCACACTAACTGTACTTTATATCCCGATAAGAAAGCTGCATTAAACAACGATAAATCAGTCGGAAGTACTAAATAATTGCGAAATGCTCCTCAAATCATATTGTCGATCCCTAATCTCTTCGATTACCGCTAATATTGCTGCTAACTTTACTACTATGGGATTTTAATTGACAATCCCATCTCTCTACTAATGTGGTATGATAACTTGAACGAATGTACGTATGTATCAAGCTCAACGTTGTTACTGACTGACTGAGTAATAAGTAATGTAGGTAGGACCAATAAATAATGCAGATAGTCACTGTCTTTGATATTTGATATTTCGGCGTCGTCTATCACTTCATTTATTCTTGATTATAATTTGATTACGCTGCATGATATAGTTATATATAGATCGATTATCGCAAAGAAAGTGTATTCAATCGTTCTCCTCTTTTATATCTAATGTTGTTCTTACTCAGAATTCATTTACTTCCGTACTGTAGATTTTAAAATATTCCCGTGCTTATTGTTTGTATGTTTCAGTGATTGCATTAATGATGGAGGCGCTGTTTTTGATTAGATTTAGTTGTGTAAATGATTTACGTTGTCTGTCTATCTTCCGATTGTCTGTCGCCATTTCCTCCTAGCCAATTAGGATATGTTTTTGCATTAACCAATGTATAATGTACAATAAAATATTTTCGATCGATCAGTCGAGTGAATCACCTCATACAACATTAAAATAAACAATATAATAACATAAAATGTCTAGTATTTGCAATGAAACTCTACAGTCTAGTTTTATTAAACTAAGTTTCGATTAATAACATGTCCTTGTTAATAATCTGTTGAGGTTGTAAGTTTTCAGGGCATCAGATTAATAAAGGTAACCTAGTGGGAATAATAGATTTCTTCAAAAATTACTATGATATACTTTTATGAAGGAAGTATGAAATCAATTCATTGAAAAGAAGATGTCACTCGATTATTCTATTAGTTAAAATCCAGTTGGAACTGGGAACTTAATGTGTATCTGCCCAATAATCAATCCATGCCACATCAATAGTTTTCAAGTAGACGTATTAAGAATGACATGTCACATCTTTGATAAGAATGGATAAATTATAATTTCAACATAATGTAATAAACAAAGACGTTAACATCAGATGGAATAAATGTGTTTTTTTTCTGATGAAGACCATTTACCAGCCAAAATATATACATTTAATCTTCAGACTTCCATTCACAAAACAAGCAAATTACTGATTGTCTTCTTCTTCCATATGTCTTCTAGTCTTCAAAACACTTTCAACGTGTCATGCATTCGTATCTAAAACTCTTTTCTGTTGTACTAAATTCTAAGCCACACTTCACTGTATACTATTTAGGAACCATGTTGCGAGTGGTATCCACCACATACAAATACATGGAAACTTATCATCAGTCATTAATAATATCAATTAACTTATGCCATATCGACTGAAATATATAAATAGTAAACAATGTCTTAATCCTTTTTCTTATCTAATGAATTCTAAGTTAAAATGAAATTAATCATGTGATAAGAGAATTCGTCTTATCGTCGAAATTTTTGTCGATGAACACCTAACCTCTAGACTGTTGAGCCGGCATCCAATTGTGTTAATGTCTAATTTCAATCAGTCCATAATAATGCGTGACCTCATTCATTGTCATCGATAGTTACTGCCTACACACGACAAGATTGAACTCTACTGGTCACAATATTTCACTGGAATTCAAAGAATTTCTTCATGGACCTAGTCACTGGTGAGTAAATTATCACATGATTAGAATGGTATTTTACAAGAACGTAGATTGATGGAATTTAGACATTAAAACCGTTGGATTTCACCGGCTCACTGGTCTACAGGTTAGGTGTTCACACACGAGACTAAAGATTCTGCGTTCGATTCCCGCGAGCAAGAGTCGCGGATGTTCACTACTGATGTGTAGTCCGATACTAGGACGAAACGACCGTCCAGTGCTTCCACGTTTCTAATGATGATAGCCTAACACTGATCGATTCATAATTTCAACATGATCGAAATCTATTTGACTAAATCTTCCAATCAAAATCCACTAACTATAGTTTTGTTGTGAAATTACATGTTTGTTAGTAGTCTCTGTTTGTTTGTGTGTGTGTATATACGCATTTGTGTTTTTGATGTACAATTTCAAAACCCCTAACTTGAAATTTTACTTTTCAATACACAATAACAATAGACTGATTGCCTAATAGGTCATCAATTGAAAAATTATGACTGGACACTACCGAGAACTTGATTAGTAGTGTTTATTTATCGACTGTGTACCATAATTAATAGATACCAAGAAAATATGGTATAAACTATTCAGAAGTCAATAGTTCAAATTACATTGTGAACTTATATGTTGACCTTAAACTGACTTATGTGTACATATATAAATCTCAAATGTAATTTGTCTTATCACCTAGGTTATTATTCATTGATCATGTTGTTACTTAGTTTTGATATTTAACAAAGTTGATGTGTGTGCACAAAGCCACTGTTTCAGTTGTGTATAAGTTGTGTTGCTTTTTGCATTGATATTGTGTGTTTGTTAATCGAATTGTATTGATTTTCATTGAACAAACATTAACTGGTGTCTGTATGCATTCAAATGAATTGATTTCCTTGTATAAGGAAACATCATTATAGTAGAAAGCCGTTCTCTTCTTATGTTCACTGAAGGGATCTCTTTTCAATGAATTTATTATCAAGCAAGTCTAGGTGGTAATGCATCACTTTTAGTCTGAGTAATGTCATCATCGAACTTTCGGAGAATACTGATCATAGTTTTCCATTAGTCTTTTCTGAACTGTTCTACGTAGTCCTAGGATTAGTAGCTCACTGATTACGTTGCTACGGAATTGTAGGCGTATGACAGGGATTTTTAAGTTTTAGTTTGTACTTTTCCTATTCTAATCTTTACAGCGCTATATTTATTGATATACTTTCCGAGGTATCCGTTTCCCATTCGCTTTTTTATCATTTGATCCTTCACATTCGCCTTCATTTTTAAGCTTAATTGTGGGTTTAACTTTATCGAATTGCAAAAGCGCCTGTAATTGTATTGTATAATCCGTCCAAACAATAAGAAGATCCCCTGTGTATTGACAATTACAATGTAAATTTCCGAATAAACTGTTTAAGTGGTTATCAGCTTTCTGTCATAAGGAGTGAAGTAGTTGGGCGTGTTGACTGCTTCTTTTATCTCGGGAGTCTCATCAGTGCTAATGGCCTGGTGTGTGATGAAATCTCGGCATGGATACAGAAGGGTCGACTGGCTTTTCCAGACTTGCGTCACTTACGGCGTACGCGAGATATCCATCTGCCAATTAAAGGATGAGTGTGCTGCACAGCAATCGCTCCATCCTACTTCATGGTTTCGAAACATGACCAGTAAGCATAGAGGGCATTCGTGGGTTACTGGTGTCTTCGAAGCATAGCTCGTATGTCCTGGGATAATCAAGTAAGCAATGCTGTTGTTAGGAAAAGGATACTAGGTAGGAATAGCAAATCAGCTGATGAAGTACTGCATCTTCATCAGTTGAGATGGGTGAGGCGTGTGCTACGACTACCAACTGCCTGAACTAGTGATGTTTTGTGATGTAAGATAATTTTGGAAGAAAGCTAGGGGCGGATAGACCAAAAAATGGCACGAATCCATGAAATCAGTGACAAGTGGAATGAGCCATTTTAGTGCATGTAGACTACTTGGTTGAGGTCCGCGAGACATTAGTAACTGATGAATAGAAACCTTGAATGACATGTCTCAAAATCGTTTGCAATGGCGAAAGTGCATCCATTCTTTGTCTTCTCTTTAATTCTGATCTGATACCCCCATGAACTTCATCTTCCTTTCCTCAAGTTTATTTGAATAACATCTTCAAACCCTAATCTTTCCGATTACTGCTCATGTAGTGAAGGAGAACACAGGTGAGGGCAACCGAATTGTATTTAACGAAAATTACAGAGTTACTCAGTAAAATAGGAAAACCATATCGTAAACGGTTAATTTGCAAATCTTCAATCCATTGTCTGACATTTCACTATTCATGCGTATCATACAAAATCCATTGTGTTCCAACTCTTCCTTTCTTGATCTTCCCCCATCTTCTGCTGCCATACATTACGTTTACACTCACGTCATATACTACTTATAAGTAGCGCGCACCACACTCGTACTTCTACTACATCTACTACTATGGGATTTGAATTGACACTTGCATCTCTATGCCATCGCGGTATGGCAACTTGAACTAACGTACGTTTGGTTAGTGATTTTTTTAACAAGGTTTTTTTTCCATGCTCAACTCTTTTTCTCATTCAGCCCTTAGATTGAAAGTCACCCTAGAAGGAGGATCTAGCGAATGTAAATTTAGCTTAACATTTATTTGTGTGATTGTTTTCTTTCCTGAATTTCTTTCATTCTCACTCTTCCTCTTTCTGTTTTTATAATTCAAGATTAATCATTGACCAAGTGGCTAGATTGCATAGTTTACCAGCTCGAGAAACTATGCTACGTTTATTTCCTAATGAATATAAAGATTCATCACAACTTTCTACAAAACCTGTACTTTTGTCAACAATACGAAATTGGATTGAAAAATTACCAACTAGTTATAATAATGATAAACAAAAATTTGAAAGGTATACATTGCATTATTTTAATTGTTTTTCTGTTGTTTTTATTATGAATTAAGATTATAGGATTTTTTATTAAATGAATAAAGTTCTTATTTAATTAGTATAAAGGTTAAGCATTCTCATGCGAGACCATAAATTCTGAGTTCTATTTTCGCGAGTGGTGTTTGTGAATGCTCACTGATGATGTGTCCGATACTAGGACCGAACGGCTGTTAAGTGCTGCCTGGTTTTCACTCGAACCTATGTGACCATCATTCTTTGTGTTCAATGGATAAGTGCCTTACATCCAACACAATTGAAATCCACTGGTCACGGCTTCTTCCTAAAACTACGATAATTCCCTTCTGAAGTTAGTCATTAGTGTGAACATACTAATTGTCCTGTGCTAGTGTGGTGTATACTACTTGCAACATGACTTATAAGTACTATGTAGTGGTATCACTGCACAGTTACTGTTGAAGTGAAATGTGCCGGATCCATATGCGCATAGAGCAGTCAGAGTACTTTGATAAACAGAAGACAGTGGAAGAAGATAACTAAGAATACGATTGTTTTACGAATGGATGTTTGACGATAAGGTGTACACATTGTGGTTTACGAATTTAATTTCAAACAATCTCCACAGCCCTATACTGCTGACACTATGAGAATAGTTAACTCATGATAAATCTGGAATAATAAAACACCATTGATAACCATATATAGTTGAAACCGTAGCTTGGAAATAGGAGCATGTAGAAAAAGACAACTGTCGAAGCGAATACTAATGATACGATAAAAATATACACCTTAATCTTAGCTATTTTAAGCTTTAAAGTTATGCTTCTATACTATTCAGAAATACTATCCATAATTTAGGTCTCGTATGGTCGAAAAATGAACATTTCGCTATTGTGAAAAAAAAACATTTCCCAACATAAGACGTTTGTGTCAAGCAGGGCTGCATCTCTTACTATCCTATGCCATACGATGTATGATACCATAAGCTATATTGCTATAAAGAGCTGAAGTTTTCCTATGAAACCAGAGGTCCGTTTTGAACATTGTGGATGGTTTGGCATTACTTCGGCAAATCTGGTCTACAGGGAGACTTACTTGATTGGTACTGGTGATGGTTGTCTTGCAACATCCCTGGGGGCCATTGTCATCGGGGTGCTATACCGTAATCACCATTGTTAATAATAATAATAATAATGAGTAATGTGTATATTGATTGACGCTATCATGGATCGGAAATAATCACTAAAAAATGTATTAGTGTATATACGTTGTGTGAATAGTCCACCAGGGGTGTCAGGTATCTATCTGTGTGGTGGTTGCACCACAGGATTGAGTTGTGCTGTTCAAGTTGTAAGATTAACACGTGAACAGTGTCTGGTTCTCCTGAAAATTAATGTAAAATTGCCATTGCCAATTGAGAATGAATTTATATAATTGTGAATCAAGCTACACATTGTTTGTATACTCATAATAAATACTAATCGGGCTTTGCAAACGAAAAGAACGTTTAGTATATTCAGTAGGAAGCTACAGCATATTGAATAAAAGTTATATGCTGTGTAATCGCCTTTTTTCTATACCATCCATATACAAACCATATGATTGAAATGTCGCCAAATAAATTTTCTTATTTGTTTTTCCTTGTTATTAATTAGATTAAAAAATGAAGTTCCTTCAAAAGACGCTCTCTTGAATGAAGTGGCATATTTAGAAAAATTACTTGAAAATTCTATTTCCCCAGTTGTTCTATGTCATAATGACTTATTAGCTGGTAATATTGTCGTTTCTCCAGATGAAAGTAAGTTGAAATATTAATCTTTTATTTTATCATTTAATTGGGGATTTTTGTATTAAAGCGCTTTGTCTGTTAATTTAGTCGAGATTTTATCTTAATACACTAGTTTGTGTTGAAAGAAAAAGTTAAAATGCTCTACGTAACAGGGTGTGTTGTATTTACAAGACTGTACTCAACTACTGCACCACTGAACATCGACTTCGTCGACTACGAGAAAGCATTCGACAGCATGGACAGGATGACACTATGAAGGCTTCTTCGATTCTATGGCGTGCCTGAGAAGATAATCAACATCATACGGAACTCTTATGACGGATTAGAATACAAGATCGTGCATCGAGGATAACTGACAGACTCGTTTGAAGTAAAGACCAGTGTTAGGCAAGGTTGTTTACTCTCACCCTTTCTCCTTCTCCTGGTGATCGACTGGATTATTAAGACTTTCAAATCTGGAAGGAAGCAGGGGATACAGTGGACAACTGGGATGCAACTGGATCATCCTGGAATCTCAGATGATCCGGCTCTTCTATCACACACACACAACAACAAATTTAGGAAAAGATGATCAGTTTAGCGGCAGCCTCATCAGCAATGGATCTTAACATACACAAAGGGAAAAGCAAGATTCTCTGGTACAACACACCGAGCACTAACCAAATCACACTTGAGGTAGACATTTTGGAGGATGTAAAAATCTTTAAATAAACGGGCAGCACTATTGATGAGAAAAGTGCGTCTGATGCAGATATGAAGGCGCGGATCGGTAAAGCTACGGTTGTATTTCTGTAATTGAAGAATATCTGTAACTCAAAACAATTATCAACGAACATCAAAGTTGGGTTAGCTCAATGTAAATCTCAAGACAGTTCTACTGGATGGGGGAAAACTTAGAGAACTACGAAAGCCACCAATACAGAAGAAAACGTGTTCATTCACAGTCGTGGGTGAGACCAACCCAACTTTCAGCTAAAGAAGCAATCAAATAAAAGCTCTGGAAGTGGATAGAACGCAGTGAGGAAATCACTCAACTGCGCTACATGACAAACCCTCACTTGAAATCTTCAAAATCAAAGAAAAAGAGGAAGACCAAAGAACACATTACTTCGAAAAATGTAGTTAGACGTGAAAAGAATAAACAGCAATCGGATGGAACTGGAAAAGAAGGCCCTGGACGCGGAGTATGTTGGAGAATGTTGTTGGTTGATGGTCTATGCTCCACAAGGAGTAACAGGCGTAAGTAGTAACAGTAAGCAATGCACATGTGCACCCGACTAAAAAAAATCAAGATATCAGTAAGCAATTGGCAAGGTTGGAAGACGTGTGAATAATGACTTGAGCAGAGCTGGTAGTTCTCCAAGTTGCAGCTTCTTACAACAGAACTTTCCTGATGTTTGCATTACGATTTCTGACTTTGGTGTTGGTTAGCAGTTTTTTCGAGTTCCAGGTTTCTTTCAGTTTTATAAATGCTGCTCTTACTTTTTTATCCTCTGCCTTAACATCTGCGTCATCTGTCCCTGGTTTATCATTGATGCTGCCTAGATATGTATAGATTTCCGCATTTTCCAAAGCTTCTCCATCAAATAAGATTCGTTACATAAAAATCATGTGAAACCGGTGAATTCAAAAAACCATTCATGTTCAGTGGAAGAATTACCTGAATATTTTCTGCATCCAATGACTTCATGTTCAAATATCTCTTTTGTAATCTTTTATTCTTTGACCTTTGCTTACTTTGATATGAATTGCTAGCTGATGCATTATTAAGTTGATCACGAGAAAAGATCAAGATTTTAAAAATTTTAGTGGCCGGTGATCTGATTTCAGTCGGTACGAACGATTCCCGACTGTAGCTGCTACCTTGACGTGGTGGTCGGGCTTGCCTACCGTCATGACCCAACCGAGCTAGCTATATTGGCTGGAACTTATGTTCCTGCAGGTCCTACCATGCCAGGCAGGTCGATTGGAGAACGATGAGACTAAAAGCAGCTACCCAAGGTCTGAGGGCGAGGTCGTACTGCTGACTGCAGACGGGTGTGACAGCAGTAAGGTGTTTCCCTTGGACAACCAGCATCTGCAGCGATGCTGACTCCTCACAAAGAAGGAAGGGTTAGAAAAGTTCGACCCTAAAAATGTCACACCTCACCCTACCTCATGGACATCCGTCTCCGTCGGTAAGGGTGATCACTAAGGGCTTTTAAGAGCGGAGCTAATACTAAAAAAAACCTTTCATCAAAAGGCCGTGCATGACCGGCCTCAAGCAGCTGTCCCCTGGGTTTCTGCGGTCACGCTGCCAGGTCCCTAAGGCCAACACCTATCTACCTTCCTTTTCAGGTCCCTCAAGAAACGACCTTCCACGGTGTGGGCAGCCGGGAAGTGACAATCGCCCTCATACCCGTAACAGCACACGACACCGAATTGGTCAAAATCAAATCCTTCCTACACCCCCTAATATCTCTCTCATCCGTCAGTCTGTCTGTCTGGTACGAACGATTAAATATGCTATGAAATAAATCTTCCCTTCGATTTTCATATATCATCATAGTTAGGCGAACGCCGTTTGTGCGATGATGATAGTAAGAAGCCAAGCACGGATTTAGTTGGATAAGTTTATTTCATGCAATAAGAAGTGTAAAAGCAAAGCGGAAAAAAGTGAAGAAGGCGAGTAAGCCAACTCAATTTCAATGAGGCGTGAATAAATTACTGGTTACTAGACATGTGATTAAGCGAAGTAGGTATGAATGCAGACAGACCTAATCAATAATTTGAAATTTTTGATGACTTTCTACAAAATTTAATCCTCTATAAAATTATTAGTTACATTTACACTGGAGACTTTGAATAACACGACTCGATATCGTTTGCACTGATGCGTCCGTTCTTTGTCTTCCCGCCAATTCTAATCTGTTGAATTCCTCGTGACCTTTTTTAAATTTACCTCAGTGGGTATACTTCTCCATTACCGCTTATAATTATTCTACTACATCTATTACTATAGGATTTGACCTAAATATTGCATCTGTGTGTGCTAATGTGGTATGACAGCTTGAACTGATGTACATACATACGTGCCGAATTCTACGTTGCAGCTGAATGAATAGAATACATTTGCCTGATTTTTATTTTAAAATTTCAGACTAATAAGTTTCTTGTATCTACTTTTTACAATTAATCATGTAGGATAATGTTCGACTGTGTGCATAATAAAATGAATACACATTGTATAGTCATATTACTTTTTCTGGTTAGCGTTTTTTTAGCGAGTTGAGTTGGTTTTCGTGGTGGTGTTTCGTTCTCTGAGCTGGTTGTTTTGTTTGTGAAGCTTTCATTGTTCTTCTAATGAACAACATCATCCATCAGCACAAACTTCAGATAGAATTGAAGCATTCGAATTTCTCCACGTTTGACCTGTAGCTTGTTCTGCTAACCTCGATCTTGATTGGTTGCTGTTGACCTTTAACTTGTCGTTGTTTACACCTTTGTTTTGATTGTATCCCCCTTTTGAACTGTTTATTGATCCTATGTCCCCTATGATTTTTCTGATTGGTTGATAAATTGGGTCAATGTCAATGTGTTTATTGATTGCTGATTGACCTGAGTGCCAAGCTTCTACGGGATGTGGGGTCGGTGACCCCCTGCCCATCCTTCTTTCTTTATCCGGGTTTTGGGTTGGCAGTAACCCCATAGGGGCTCCAGGCGGGGTTATTTATATTAATTACTTTACAAGAGGATATAAACTGGTTTGGTGCATAGGGATGATAGATAGGCGATGATGGGAATAATGTAGGCCTTTTTTTCTTATTTTCAAATATTATGAGTAGAAGATTACTTTGCAGTTATATTCCATTGATATAATGAATCCATGATTGTTAGATGATCACCATTAAAAATAAACCTGTAAGCATTCGACGATCGTTTCAATCTAAGTAGTATGAGACTCTAACAATGATCGATGCATTATTTCAATGATACTACACATTCTTCATAACTGTAGTCTAATAATAAAAAACCTCCCATCTCTTTTTTTGTGTTTTTCTTTATTTTTTGTTATCAAAATAGAATCAGTTCATTTTATTGATTTTGAATATTGCGGATTTAATCATGCAGCATTTGATATTGGAAATCATTTTTGTGAATTTGCTGGTAAGTAATTAAATAATTTCTTTATTTAATTAAAACATTGATTGAAAAAAATACTTTTGCGTGATGTTGTGTTTCCGACCGTTGATTAATAAATATTTACATGACAATTCTAAAACACCAATCAGAATTACGTTTTGGCACCAGTAACCTTGAGTCAACGCTAAATCCTTATTGGTCTACAACTGGATAGCTTCTTTCTTTCTACCCTACCTGCCTCTTAGTCCAGAAGTCTGTAAGTCAGCCTACAGAAAATTTGCTATATTTCGAGCAGAAATAGTTTATATTCAGAACGTATTAGATCGCATCACACCGTAGAATGAGAAAATACATTTATACATGAGCAAGCCAAAAAGTGGCTGTGAATAGTAGGAAGACTGTAAACCACATAATACTACTGATAATCTATAAATCCGCCCGGAGAGTTGCCATACCTGTAACTTTCTTCCTGATATAGCGTGTTGATTGAATACTATGAATCAAGTTTCAGTATAATCACTTCGAAGTGACCCGAACTCGCGTAGACGGGAGTTAGTCAACAGTACACCCTGCTTGATTTAGGTCCCGTATTATTCGACACTGGTCAACAAGTCTTACCTGTAATCTGAGGAGAACTGATTTGTTCCCGTGTCATTGAGTTTCAATGCCAGGGACGTTACCAATATTTAGGCTGCTACTGAACGTTTTTGTTGTAGGACAGATATTTGTTATGATTGATCGCCCCAAGCTAAATCTACTAAAGAGTGCTAGTCCCTTCAACATTGCAGGTACACCTTTTTGATGATTGCTAGCTTGCATGAAGTTTAGTTCAACCAAGATTTTCTTCGGACTAACTCGAACAACCTAACATAATCACTAACTACCATGAGTTTGCACGTCCCAATGTTGTTCTAGTTCTCTGTAGATTTTACTCATAGGTAAAAGTCTCAAACAAAGGGTGATTTCCTCAGAAAAACACCTTTTTCAGTTTGAGCACCGGAGCAGTATCCTAGCTCACACAACACATTGAATATTTTGTATGGTGCTTAAATATTTATATGTTCCTTTGTACCAACAATTAGTATGTATTTATATGATATAAATGAAGCCTGTTCATTATCGATAAATAACCCATTATCGTTTCGCATTGGTTTTAATTTTTCTATTAATTTACTTCAAACATCAAAAATTTCTTTAGGTTGTTACATAACCCTAGCTGATTTGACTGGAAATGATGCGATTGAAAGGGACAATTTAATGTTCCGGAGAAAAGTTGTACTTTCTTAAACTGTACTACATTTTGACAGTAATAAAATCTTTTCCTCATAAATAGTGCATCCTCAGTGATGCTACTATCATATCACAACTAGAGGATAAGGCTTACTTAAACATCCAGTCAGTGATATCATGGGCTGATGCCACTTTTTGATTTGGTAGTACCTACTTGCCAACTTACTTTTTTACACCAGCAAGTATCTCATACTGAGGTGGATACAGATTAGTCGTATAAAATACAAAACTGAATAGGTTTCTAGTTAATAAGAAAAATAGTAGATTGTAGACTATTCTATATGTCTGTGTTACTCTTTTATAGGTTTCTGTGCATACTGTTCCATTTTGAAGATAAAAACTCACTGATAATATTTTGAAACAAGTGTTAATTATCATAGATATTTGAAACAACGTTCGGTTTCTCCCTTAAAATAAAGGGGCGCCAATTTGCTTAGGATAAACAAAAAACAATTTATCTGCATTATACGATTTTATTCTCCCTATACTAATTAATTCAGTCAACCTCAATATTCTGTCACACTGCAACACATATCATCTAATCAAGAACATGTAATTCGCCCGACTTGCTCGTGTATTACACAATAATCAATTAAATATGATGGGATAATTGAAATCCATATGACGACACATCAAATACCTGTCAGGCTATATCTGCCAGTCTGTCTGGAAAAAAAAACAACTGATCACAAATCCGCTTGTACCCATGTAATAATAGTATTCAATTTGTTGAATAGAAACTTTCAAATCTCTCCTCATTTATGTTTGTGATTTATTTTACTGTGACACTATAGGATTCAATGAATGGTATTTTGAGTAATAGTCATACCAATAAAACGTAGTACAACTCGGTCGTATTAGTTAAACCTGCATAGAGTGATGACTTAGTTTTACATTATACTGACTGCAATATTCGTTTCTTTAGGCTACATAATCCTGTCCGATTTGGTAAGATTGAAAGGTACAATTTAATGTCCAAGGGAAAAGTTGTATTGCCTTATACTATACTTACTGCATGCTTTCCTCATAAAACTTGCATTTTCAACGATTCTGCTTATTCACAACTAAAGGATAAAGCTTATTAAATGTCTCTCTTCAAAAAATGTCACTCCCCAAAAATTACCTCCTCATGGATTGGCATTGCAGATGGGTTAGGCCTTAGAATTACAGAGGTAACACATTTATAACTAACTTCACAAAGACTGTGTTTAACTGACTTCAAGAAGTTACATGGACACTGTAATTAATCCCTGCTTAGGTTATCAAGACTCATAAAAATCCAATAATTTGTGTCCTTATGTTACTCTACTTATAAACGACATTGCAATTAATACAATCCTCAATAGTGTAGTGGTCATGTAAAAAAAACGAGATCGAAGTGTGAATAATATACTGGCTATTGATTATTTGTTTAATTTTTAAATGGCCCACGATCTGATTCCGATTTGGACGAGTACGCTACGGAATAAATCTTTCCTTCAATTTCCGTATATCATCATTCTTAAGCAAACCACCCCGTCTGTACGACGACTATAATAAAGGAGCCAAATACGGTTTTGCGGATGAGTGCACTTCATGCGATCACTCGCGTAGACGGACTTGAGACTAAAATGTGGAAAGCAAAGTGAAGCGAAGTAGAGAAAGCGAGTTAGCCTACTTACTACGATGACACATGACTAAGTATTTGTAATCGGATCAAAATAGCATCATAGACTTGTGACCGGGATATAAGCGAAAAATTGACAAGGTCAAATGACATGCGAATAAATAGTAACACAGGTAGACTTTAGCTAAAGACTGGGATACGCCCTGCGAGCTCAACCTACTCGTAAATCAATCTAGTTCTTATTGCATTCATGTTTTTTTTATTTCATCATATTCTTAGGTATAAATACAGTAAATTTCGATAATTATCCAACAGAAGAATTTCAACGTTTATGGATTAGCAAATATTTAAAAGCAAAAGATTATTATGAGAAATTATTTAATCAACAAAAAGAAATTGATCAACATGGATATTCTATCACTCCAATTATTGTGAATGTATCTTCTTCCGATACAAATCATATTGATACACATTGTAATAGTAATGGGAGTAGTACTAATAAAACTGATAAGAATAATTGTGAAGATGAAACTTTACTTGAAAAATGGTTGATTGAAGTGAATCGTTTTGCTTTGGTAAGTAGTATATTATATATATTTTAGTGTTTTGTAAAAATGTTTAATATTTACACGTGTACTATTTTTCCGTACAGGTAAGAATGGCAGATCAATACATGAAGTGGTGAAACTTCATCAATTAAGGTGGTTGGGACATGTGCTGCGTATGCCTAACCACCGACTGCCTCGACGAGCTTTGTTTTATAGTGTAGGAGTAGGTTGGAAGAAAGCTAGGGGCGGCCAAACCAAAACATGGCAGCAATCCATGAAGTCATCGACAAGTGGACTGAGTCATGTCGGTAGTTGTTGACTACCTGGTTGGGGTCCGCGAGATGATAATAATCGATGGTTAGAGACCTTGAATGACATGGCTCAAATCCTTTTGCGATGGCGCCGGTGCATTTATTCTTTGTATTCTCTCAAATCCTAATCTCCTGGATTCTTTAACGCTTCTAGTTTTGTCTTTCTAAACTTATCTCACTGAATCATACTTCTTGAATAATATCTTCTCATCCTAACCTCTCCGATTACTTCTGAAACCCTTACTACTACTACTATTGGAAGTTCTACGTTGCATCTGGCTGACTGACTGACTGACTATTTCCGTACACTCGAAGGCGGATTAAAGATAGTCGATCACAAAAGTATTACACCATACCTTACTTTCGCCTGTAATTCCTTGTGGAACATAAGCGGCCGACCAGCATTCTCCAACCAACTCTGTCATAATCTATCCTTTCCAGTTATTGTCACATGTTATCCATTCTTCTGATTACTGACTATAATCCTCAGTGTAATGTGCTCTTCAATCTACCTCTCTTTGCTTTAAGAATTACAAGTTAGAGCTTTCCTCGTATCCCAGGCACAATCGCGTTTCCGTATTCTCTTTCTCAGCCGGAAGTTGGTTTGTTCTTTCCCACAGTAGGTTGTTGCTGATGGTGTCTGACCAACGGATTCGAACTGTCTTGCATCAACAACTGCTTGTTAATACCTGTATCCTTTGGATGATGACCCTCGTGGTTCTCCACGTTTTCTCTCCATTTAATAGAAGTGTCCTGAGGTTTAGCATTGAACATTCTGACTTTGGTGTTGGTTGATATTTGATTTGAGTTACAAATGTTCTTCAATAGTATAAACTCTGCCCTTATTTCACTAATTCATGTTTTCACATCTGCATTAAATGCTCCTTCTTTATCAATGTTGCCCAAATATGTAAACGTTTCCACACCTTCCAAAGCTTCCCATTCAAGTGTGATTTGGTTGATGCGTAAGATGTTGTATGTAACGATATTGCATTTCCATTTGTGTCTGTTGAGACTTACTGTTAAAGAAGCTGCTGCCATATCGCTCCAAAATAATCCGTAGCTTAACGATTAAGTCAGCACACAATCGGTGCTTATAGATTCGACCTCCTGACCCTGAAATTGGAAATATTTGGAATACTCCATTCTGTTCAACAACACTCTGTCGAAGACATTTTTTGGTGTTGATGATAAAGTGGTGACAGTGTATCTCTCACACTTGGGGAGATGTCTTTTGTTTAGTGTCTTGATGAAGTGTGCCTCCTTCCTTTTTTCCTCCTAAGTCTTTTTGAATAAGGCATAGAGCATTTTTGGATTTACTCGTATGTTTAATTTTAGTGTCTTACGCCATACCTTCTCACATGTATTTCAGGTGGCAGTGCCATATCTATGGAGGTCTTACATTAAAACTGCTTTTAAAAAATCTGCGTTCATTCCACCTCAAGCAGATATCACTTTAGGCTCTACAATCGTGATACCAAATCAAAAGAGTGGAACGTATTCGACTGGAAAATAGCAATTATTGACTTGATCTATTTAAATAATACCTTTGTGATAATCAACCTCCAGCTTCATGATAGGTTTTCAGAAATTTTTTTAAGAATTCATTACCTAAGTAGTCAGTTAGCCTAAGAATGAGATAATGTAGACTTTTGAAGCTGAACTCAATGGTCTGAGGTGGAATCAGGCCTGCCGTCAGAGTCATTGATTTTAGGTTCAATCCTCCGTGGGATCTCATACGAACTTAGTGATAACCAATTCCAAACAGTAAACAAATCGTTGACCAGTTAGTTCTATAGTTTTCACTATTCTGTGTAATTGATATCGATTATCGAATTTTGTGTATGATGATATATTTTTAGTCTCACTGACCCAAACATTGAATATTCAGAAAAAAGTTGCCTCGAAATCAATTTGGCTTTCTCGATATAGTCAGTCAGCTAACCTAATCTAACCTTGAGATTCAAAGTCATGAATACGGCTGTTCGTTAAATTGTTCTTGTGAACAAAACTTTCCTATTTAGTGAATCCAGACAAAAGAAACTTTGAACTGAACTGTAGTAGAGATCTGTGTATATTTATTCTCTTTGTATCTTAAACTAACTCAAAAGCAGCATATACACAATAAAATAATTGTATAACTATTGTGTTATATTTAGCAAAACACGCAATCTACAAGGAAATACATTATATATTAAAGTATAGCATTTCATGTAATAAAAAAAGTAAGGACGTAAGTCTCATGTTCAAAATTTTGATTTAAGACAGGAAAAAACATATCACACAGTATACCACTACCACCTTACAGAGTAAATGAAAACTTGTTGTAGTGAAGGAGAACACAGGTGGGACAACCGAATTGTATCTAGCGAAAATTACAGAGTTACTCAGTAAAATCGGAAAACCATATCGTAAATCGTTCATTTGCAAAATATAAGTTCATCATATCGAACTGGACTGTTCCTGTTGCAAAACATCAATCCATTGTCACTATTCATGCGTTTCATACAAATTCCATTGTGTTCCCACTCTTCCTTTCTTGATCTTCTCCCATCTTCGGCTGCCAGACATTACGTTGACACTCACATCATATACTACTTATAAGTAGCTCGCACCACAGCACCACATTGTGATTAGGTGAATATTAAAACAAACAAAAAGCCAATGAAAAATAGGCAAATTAAATGTCAGTTATTACAAAATGAATACACTCATTTATCGTTTGTTATTGTTGATTCATCCTTCCTACTCACCCCCTTTTTTTTCTAATCATGTTATTGACATTTTTCTTGCAACATCATGATTATTTTATCACAAGTTATAAGTTGGAAATGTTTTATACTATGATGAGTTAGTTGGTTAGTGTCTTCGTTAGTTGGTTGTGTGTTTCTACTGAATGAATTTTCTAATCCTCTCTCATACTTACTCAACGATCCTTTTTACCTTGCGCTAAGAAGATAGGCAGTAATCCTAGAAGTCTTATGGAGAAAGTACAAATGATTTTCTTTTGGTTAGTGTATTCTCTAAGATGAGATAGTTTAGGGTTACGCTTGCAATCATTCTTGACAAAGTAGGATCACATGAATAATTCCACTCAGATCCTGTATGCACGTTTGGGAGACGCAGCGTACATCGACAACACGAGATTCTAGAGTCCTAGCTACGGAAGCCTGTTGTCCTATTTGAAACAAGGTCCGGCCATTAAAAGTTTCCACATTTAGTTTAGAGCGGGCTTTCAGGAGACCAGGAATACCGTTTCGTATACTCGAATCGTTTGCGTCAGCAGCGAAAGGCGATAAAGAAATGAATAATGAATGGTTGGTCTTAGAGATAAGAGAGATATTAAGAGGTGTAGAAACGATTTAATTGCGACAAATTGTCTTTCATGGAAAGAATATTATCAGCATAAGCCTGTATTATTATTAACACTCTAAAACAAGCAACGACCACGAACGTACCTATAGACGATAATCTACTAAATTCTATTGGTTAACAAGGGCACTGGCAACTGTAGTCAAATACAGAGAATTTCATACAACCAGATCACTTGATAAATTTAAACAGAATAAATGAGAACAAGATGCCGAAAGTGAATATCATCTCTGCGATGTAGATAGATCTGTCAGACAAATTCCATTAAATACTTGGATTCCACTGCTAACCACTGCTTATCCACCTCTGCTTATATATAAAGCAAAATCGAGGCAATCCACACAGGATGCACATACGCCAAAAAGAGACTGATCAATTAACGTTCTAAGCAACCAATATCTCTTTTGTTCATTTAAATTTTCTAATTTGATAGTAAATAATTTGGTAGAATGAAAATTGATTAATGATTTCAAATGTGTAAAAACGCAAACCTCCAAAACTGTGCCCCAATATAATGTAACAGTGCTCACTAGTGACTAGCTTCGTGAGGAAATTCTCGGAGTTCTAGTTGAGAAGACGTGACCAGTGGAGTTCAACCCTGTCGGGTGTAGGCAGTAACTACCAAAGACAAATGGGTGAGGTCGCGCAAAATCCCTAGATCAATCAGAGTTAGATATTAACACCGTTGGATGCCGGCCCAGTGGTCCGATGGTAAGGCGTTCGCCTACAATGCCAAAGGTCCCGGGTTCAAATCCTGCGAGGAGCAGGAGTCGTGGATGCGCACTGCTGAGGAGTCCCATACTAGGACGAAACGGCCGTCCAGTGCTTCCAGGTTTCTAATGGTGGTCTAACAATGATGATTGATTAATGATTTCAAATGTGTAAAAACGCAAACCTCCAAAACTGTGCCCCAATAGAATGAAAATTGTTTACATTTTTGAAAAACCGATGTAGCGAATTTTCGACTCAGGATAAACATTTCAAATTAGTACACTTACCAAAGTATTTGGAGAATAAACCACAGTGCAAATTTCAGAATTAATTAAGTGGGCCAAGGTTCTAACTTAGTGACTTACTTACTTAAGCCTGTGACCCCTAATAGAGTATTAGGCTCTCGACCACATTCTCCGGCCTACTCAGTTCTATCCAACTGCTATTCATTCTTATCATATCTGCTTCCACTCCTCGGAGTAATGTGTTCTTTGGTTTCTCTCTTCTCCTTTGACCTTGATGATTCCAAGTGATGGCTTGTCTTGTAACGCGGCCGGGCGCTTTCCGACTTAGAGCCTTATTAGTTAAAATAATCAAATGTCTTAACTACTGTCTTAAACTTTGTGGAATAACCTTTCTTTTGTTAAAATCTGAACTGAGTTTTACTTATTCATGAAATATAATTCAATTATTGCTTGATTATTTATTTTATTATTTCTACAGGCAGCTCATTTATTCTGGAGTGTATGGGCAGTGATATTATCAGTTCAAGAACAAAAAAAATTTGATTATTTATCGTAAGCGTAATAGTTTAATAATTATTGGATTAATCAATATTTTATATTTCACTTACTTCTTTTATCATTTTTGTCTGAATAAATGATATTCTGTGAACAGGAAAATTGTCCGACAGTGTCTGTGTATGAATTCAGAGGTATATATATATATATATATATATAATGAAGTTTTGTGCTTTGAGCTGAATGTTTTGGTAGTGGAGCTTTCGTTTCTCTTCTGAACAACATCAGCACAAACTTCAAGTAGAAGTGAGAAGTTTGAATGGATCCACTTATGACTTTTGTGGCTCGTCCTGTTGACTTTGATCCTCGGTCAGTCAGTCAGCAACAACTTAGAACTTCTTACGTACGTGTGTATCTGTTCAAGCAGCAGCCATACCACATCACCACACAGAGATGCAATCGTCAGTCTAAATCCTATAGTGAGAAGTATATATCCCAGTGAAATAAATTTAAAAACAGAAAGATAAAGGTGACGAAGAATTAAGTTCAAGCGTCAGCGCAAGCCATTCCTGAAACAACATTTTGCTGGTGGATGCAGAAAACCACATCCCGAACACGCTTGAGGTAGTCAGAAGATTCGAAATTTCGTTAGCGTCTTCAACAAATATAACTATGTCATCAGCACATTCTAGGTCAGTAAGCGATCCTCCTGGTAGAAGGTCTACTCCAAAAAATTCAGACGAGGATAAGGTTATTTCTAGTAGCATGTCTATGACAAAATTAAACAAGCATGGAGAAAGTGGACATCCCTGACACACATCACCTGAAGTAACGGATTGCGATGACAGTTCGCCATAAGCTCTCACTCGACCAGTAGTGTTTGAGTAGAGAGCTTGTGTAAGGTTAATATACTTTGGTACACCTTTCAATGACGGACACTGTCATAGAATACCATTAACGACAGAGTCTTGCGTTCGAGAAATGCGACTATTGTGGGATGTCTGAACATGTGTCTATGTTCAGGACCTGACGAATAGTGAGTATCTGGTCTATACGTCCACGTCCAGGTAGGAAACTAGCCTGGTTTTCTCGAGTCTGCTCTCCATGTGCTCTAGTTAGACATCGAAGTATTATTAAGCCGGTATTTTAGACTGTGGCGTTAGACTTTCATTATCTTCGACGGAGACCGTCTTGGTGATCGCTACGAGAGAACACGAGTCCTTGCCACAATTTCTTTATTATTCAAATTATTTAATGATCGATACAAATATCGGATTTAATTCAAATATGTATAGTCGATATTGACATCGAATTATTCAAACTGTTAATCAGTACAGCTAGTCAAATAACTATATGTGTAGGCGGCAAGTAATGCCCAAGCGTACATGAGCATACAAGCTCAACAATGATAAAAAGTACAAGATATATGTGAGGTACTACAAGACAATATGTTAGTTAGACTGATTCCTCTGTGATTGTCACAAGACGGCATTTATCCTTTTTTATAGACTAGGACAATCAGTGATTGAGACCAGTCAGATGGTAATACGCCCAGTTCCTAGACTTTGCCTAAGATCTCAGTCAATCTAACTGCTAAAACTGTACCACCATTCTTAAAAATCTTAGCTTTCGCTACTTACGGCTCATTAGTATTGTGTTGGCTTCTTGTCAGCCAGTGTTTAAGCTGACTCCACTCTTCACCGTGTTCACAGGCATACATTTAACTTATAATTGTCAAGTAACGTATGTATAACCACTAAAACCTCTAGAATGCACATTCAGAATAAGGTTTTCAAAAGACAATGAAATAGTGTACAAAGGAATAAGGGAAGTGAAACATCGGTATGTCTGTGTCATTGTTACACGTCTTATGAACCATATCATCCGACAATCGATCGCCATTATCTCATGTACATGTTTTACATATGCTCAAACATCAGTTACCTTGACATACATTGTTAACTGGTATTTGGATAAATGAGGAGAAATCACGTTGACTATCAGTGTAGATCAGTTTAATAGATTTAGACTATCGGATTAAAATCCTTATGATCAATAGTGGGAAACAGTGAGTGACATCATTCAGATGCGTTCACTCTTTATCTTCTTCTTAATATCTCTTCTTCACACATAGATCCCTTTTAATTTTATATTAATGAACCAGATTTTCCATTCTTAATCGTTTTCATTACGAGTATTGTTATTAAATTATTTTGTTGTGTTACTGTATGATATGAAAAACTTAAATTAATGCTTATTTATGTTAAATTTTAAGGTGATTGACAAAGCAGTCCTAAATGATGATGATGATGTCAATGACAACATATTTCTTTTTCACTGAAATCACGAATCAGACATTGTTAAACCAACCAGTAGTAGAAACCTGGAAGCACTGGACGGCCGTCTTTTCTTAGTATTAAGACTCATCAGAATCGAATCCAAGAGGCTTCATTTTTGCCCACGAACGCCTTAACCTTTAGATCAATGAACTGCGATCTATCAGTGTTAATGTTTAACTTTTGATGAATCTTAGGTTTTGTGCAACCTCACAATGTGCTCACTGTGATGACTAGCTTCATGACAAAATTCTCGGAGTGGTAGTGAGAAGCTATGACCAGTGGAGTTCAATCCTGTCGGTTGTGCAAAAACCTTAGATTGATTAAAAGTTAGTTAGGCATTTACGCCGTTGGATACTGGCTCGCTGGTCTAGAAGTTAGGAGTTTGCGCGCGAGACCCGAAGGTCCTGAATACGATTCCCGTGAGCGGGGGTTGTGGATGCGCACTACTGATGAGTCTCATACTGTGGTGTGAGCTACTTATAAGTAGTATATGACGTGAGTGTCAACGTAATGTCTGGCAGTAGAAGGTGGGGGAAGATCAAGAAAAGAAGAGTGAGAACACAATGGAATTTTTATGGAACGCACGAATAGTGAAATGTCATACAATGGATTGATGATGGATTGAAGATTTGCAAATTAACGATTTACGATATGGTTTTCCTATTTTACTGAGTAACTCTGTAATTCTCGTTAAATACAATTCGGTTGCCCCACCTGTGTTCTCCTTCACTACAATACTAGGAAAAAAACGGCCATCCAGTGCTTCCAGGTGTTCCAATCACGATGATCGATTCATGATTTCAATGAAATTATATTTATTGATAGTTTTTCTCTCTCTCTCTAATTTTTCTGAAATTTTTTTATTTTTAGATATGGTATCTCTCGTATCAATCAGTATTATGCAATGAAAAATCGTCTCAACACACTGCATTCTTCAACAAAATAAAATGATTGATGCGCAGTTTCATCACTACTACAAAAATGCTCAATGGTTGTGAAGAGACTTTGTTAATAAACTAACTCATAACTACAGTTAGTTAATCAATCGATTTGTACTTGCCTGTCTGTGCCTGTGCCTGTGCGTGTGTGTGTGTGTATATATATATATGTATATCAAATGGAAGACTGTTTATTCTCTTCCTGTTTTTTTTTTCTTTTTGTTTACGAATATTAATTAATTAATTAATTACACTTTTATTTATTTGTTCATATTATTATTTTTCATGGTCGTAAAATTGGTGTAGGATCAGTGATTCATTCTATTCTTCTACTGGCGTGAAGAAATCAATCAATCCAATCGACCATTAATATTTCTTTTCTTTTCTTTTTTTTATAAAAAAAAAGAAAAACAAATCGACTTATTTTTTCATAAAATGATCAGTAAAGAAAAACATTATTTTCTTCATTCAACATATTTGAAGAGGTCAATGAGAAGAATGAATTTTCGAATCCGGTGATTTGTTTGACTGGGCGATTTCTGGCATTTCAATTGTCATGTTGATGATTTTATTATATTCAGAGAGAAGAAAGCTGTTTTTCCTGATTTCAGTTTGAAATTTTACAGTGTAGAAGTGCTTTTAAAGAAGAAATATTTCGTTGACAAATGGTCAGAGAAAGCCAAAGCGGTGGTGTTTATGATGTACGATGTCCAAGATCTAGTTGCGACACGTACTAACTAATCCCCAAGGCTGACTACTTGAATAGGTGGAGGAGGAAGTCTATTTAGCTACCGAATAACATGTATAAATACACATCTATAACTATGTTACGCATGCACGTCACCACGTCACTTGATATGCTTGAACTATTACGAGTTTACCTTGTAAACGAGAGCGAGGATCGATGATCCGGCGACACGACTCTAATCCGAGCGTCCCAAAATTCCCATTGAATAGAAGAAGAAGACTTGATATAAAGTAGAATGTGTATTCTAAAAACATCCAAAGAGTACGAGGTCCGAGTCCAGAAGAGGCTTAGGATCCCGGACTAAGAATCCGGGTCCAGGTCATACAACGTTAAAGATAATGCGTATTTATACGGTTAGGTTGAATAGGAAACAACACTGAAGTATGTGGCATTGACAGTCAGGACGACCAATAGGAACTGACCAATAGAATTAGACTTACAAGTAAATCTTTTAGGATATTGGATGAATATCCTAACAAACTGTTTAGTAGAAAATGAACCCATTTCTTGATCAATGATATGCATCCGTTCATTAGGATTCTTCTAATGGTCATGAGATGACCTTGTTCGTCCATCCATGTTTGATTCTCCCTATATTAGAAACGTTAATTCCGGTCTTTATTATTTTTATCTATCATCTCCGATTGGTTCTTCATATTAGGTAGGTAGTGTCCATTTTGAAAAGTCAGTCAGTTAATCAAATCAAGGTTGGAGTATTTATAAGCCTAAGCTGCCATTACCCCAATTAGCTTGGCGATGAGATGAAATAAAATGAAAGGATCAATGGCAAAGTAACTGATCTAATCATAATACTAATGGGGTAATGCGAAAGTTTGAACATTAAGAATCTAAAAATAGTGAGGGTATACTAGGATTTGAAATTGACAGTTAGAAATGTAATGGATCTGCACCATTCCGATCAATTATGAGTATCGTATTGCCCATCGTTTGTTTATCATTGATCATTCAAACCACAACCAATAGTTTGTATCTGACACTCATCGAAGGTTTTTAGATATTTGGCATCTACTTGATAACCAGTTCAAAGGTTTAAAGTTTCACATGACACAACTAGACGATTATGTTCGATCCATAATGACTACTCGCAAACTGTACACATAAGACGGCTTTATTCCTCGTCTGGTTGTCACTATGTAGTTGAAAACAATTATCAGGTTAGTTGTATGTAATCAGTGAATATCCCTGTCGGGTTAAAGATCCTGCGATATATGACAGCATTCAACAAGAAATATCTGCGACTGATAGTCCGTTACACTATGAGGTTCAAATTTGAGTCATTCGGTGTTATAATTTAGAGATGATAGTAATGTTTATTTGTTTCATTGGGTATGAACGTCATTTCATGGGTACTAATAACTAAATACCAATGTTAGTCGCATATGTGGAGATAGTTTCTTTAGAAACACTGCACGACTGTAGACTGGGTCGGACAGTGCTGGTGGTCGTACAAACAAAGCGAAGCGAATTGAAGAAGGCGGGTGAGCCAAATCTCATGCACTGATGGATGACTTACTACTTATAGTCAGGTAATAATAAGCTAGACATGTAACAAGCGAGTAAGCATGCAAACGCACAATTAAATGTACCATAGTCGATACTGTTATCGAATTATTACAAATATAGAAAATGGTTGATCGAACTATCGAATAAATGGTGGGGGCTAAAAAATAGCTCCCCCCCCACTTAGCAAACCGTGTAATTACTTACAGGTATGTGTAACCTTGAATTCGTGTGTTTAGAAAATATTAAGACATACGACTGTGTATGCCACATAAATAAAACTGACTTGAATACGATCAACATGAGTGTTTCTTTGATATACTAGTTCTAATCTCTATGTTCTGATTTTTAGTAGTGTGAAATGGTTTTACTTGCAGTAATCGTGCAATATTCGAGAATAATCAGTATAGCGTGCAGTTACATATACCTGAATAAACTGGATGAATTTCGATGAATGTATAGACGTTATGGCAAAGCTCATAGATCAAGTAGGTAGGTGGCTGTAGGTATAATAAGAAAGTTCAGTCAATATTATAGAGAACAATGATTACAGCGTACAAATGTGATGAATGAACATTAGTTGCATATCAAGAACATAAGTTGCTGCCTGCAAGCTTATCTCTATGACAGCGTTGCTAACCGTTGGAGTAGTCGATAACATGCTATTATCAGCGTGCAGCAGGTTGACTCGACTGCTTAGACTGATGGTTCATGTGCTTAAGCCTGTTGCCATACCACCAAATTACTTAGCAGGTTGAAAAATGTTCGGGATACGAGCAGCTATTCCATATATTCCTAAACTTCGTATATCGCCGTCCTGAAGACCATTACTACAGAACGCGAGTCGTTGCCACAATTTCTCTATTATTCAAAATATATAATGACTGATACAATTATCGGATTTATCACAGTAGTCGATATTGTTATCAAATTATTAAAGTTAGTAAATGGTGTGGTGCTACAATCTCATCTTCATCTGTTACAGTTAAACAATTCATGATGGATGTTATTTTCGGCATCCACTAGTCGAATGTTCAGTGATTAAAATAATAATTGAAATCACTATTTAAATATTTAGCAAAATGATAGTTTCTACTTATGAGTAGTAGTAGTAGTGAGTCAACAGTGTTTTCAGAGAAATAGTGATGTGGAAAATTACAACTACTTTATTCTTCCAAAATAAATACAATCGATTGTCGCACAAAGTATCATGTGTTCTTGACTTTTGCCTAAATTTCATTAGTTCACTTTACCACACATATAGTAGGAAAATCATGTCAACAGACAGTAGTTCTCTACCGTTAAAGTTGAGTGCACAGATGCGTAACACTCATATTTACTGTTCAATCATATCATTATTTAACAACATATCAAATAGATTTAGTCAACAGTTTAGTTTTTGGAAATTATTCATTCTTCGAAAACTAGAAAATTCTTACAAATATATAAACTACAATTCTCTTTACTTGAACATAATAATTCTAGTATGGTATAAACTCAATGCATCAGTTCAAAGAAGTTTCTTGCTCTTCATAGCTGCAAAAACTACTTTTACGCAGTGTTTACTGTCAAACAATAATACTGTTTTCTTAGGTCGAGTCCACACGCCTAGTCCCATCATTTGAACGCATTAACTAATCCCTTTTTCTCTAGTTATTTGCTTGTTTTTCGATCTTGTCAATTATTCGCTCATAATCTACGTCGTTTTTGAGTGTGCCTGCCTGTTTACTTCGCACGTTACATGTCTAGCCTATTTTATCTGACTACAAATACTTAGTGACTTACTTTACTTATCTACGCCTATTACCCTCAATGGAGCATAGACCGGCGACCAGTATAAATACTTAGTCACACCTCATTGAAATTGAGTTGGCTTTCTCGCCTTCTCCATCACACTTCGTTTTTGCGCTTTGTATACTCATCATATCTGCCTAAGTGAAGGATTACATGAAATAAATTCATCCGCAAAACCGTATTTGACTTCTTATTACTGCCGTTGCGCAAACGGGGTTCACCTGAGCACGATATACGGAAATTAAAGGGAAGATTTATTTCTTGGCATATTCGACTGTTTGTTCAGATCGCGGGACACTAAAGTGATGAAACTCACTTCGAATTTAACGCATCCACTAAAAAGAGTATTGAAGAGTTTCTAACGGATTGCAGATAATTAATTTGTAGGTCGAACTACTACTTACTTGTTGATTTTAGTTGGTGTTACCATTGGAAACTAGAAAGCACCAAATAACTGCTTAGTCCTAGTACAAAAATCTCGATATACATACACATTTACAACTTCACTGAGGTCTCAAACCTACGACAAATGCCAAATTAATCAGGATCACTTAGCTAGTGTCCAATGGTGGCGCAATTTCAACTTCAATCAGTTTGTGCAATAGCACGAAGATCAACGGACGCCACCAACAGCAACTACTTCACACTGAACACGTACCTATTCGATTGATTATGACTAGTCATTAAGATTTTAGGAATATTGAACGAGTTGTGCGAAAATTATTCCGATTCATAGATTGTGTTCATCGCTGACCAATACATTCAATAAAAGTGGTAGTCTTGAAGAGCGAATCGAGAATACTGGTTCATAAAATTATTTTTTGATTATTATTATTATTATTATTATTTATACATAAATTATAGTTTTTCATCAAAGTAAGAGGTGAAATCAACACTTTCGTGTTACAACATTTATGGATTATGGATTAATTTGTCGAGAGAGATGAAAAAAACTACAAGCAAATACAATGCAGCATAATAATGTATAATGATGATAAAAACACGAAAACATTCTCGAAGAAAAATAAACGCGAATGTAGAAGGGCAGTTATGTATATATATGTACAAAAAAGTGAAATTCAATACATACACGTAGACGTACACACACACACACACACACACACGGACTCATAGACACACTATATACAGGTAATGAGTGTTGTTCTGTTGTTTTTGTGTGTGTGTAGGGGGGGGGGCTGGTGTATTATTGTCTAATCGTTGGAATGTTTCCGTTTCTTGTGTTTATGCTTTCGTTGACCATTGTTATCATCATCATTACCAGCAGTCGTTTCGAATGAATAATGAATGTTCTTCATGGGTGAATTGTTTGATAAAACAGTTTCCAATGTTTCATAATCATCAGTGGATAGAAAATGCCTCTTATTGGTATTATTATTATTATTATTACTAGCTAGACTATTCATTTTATTGTTATTCACACTACTTTGTACTGGTTTCATCATAAACGATACACATGGTGAAATAGCGACTACATTCTTTTTAGGTTTAACACTTGGATTATGTTGATTTCTGTCATTTAGAATAAAATTATTAGTATTATGATAGAAATTAGCTTCGCCGTTAGCAACATCAGAGTCATCTTCTTCATCAATGTCGACATGATTCGACAACAGATCGATATGATCATCATCATCTGCGGTAGTATTATTATTATTATGACATCCATTTACAGAAAACAATCTTTCATGCAGTACAGGGCCAATTTTAATCTCTTTTCCTTTATGAATACGATTTAAAACATGATCAATAGCTTTGTCAATCATTGAAGCGAATCGTGGATTTTCCATTTGACTATGACCTAGAAATAATCATTACATTAGGGAAAAATTAATCACAGTTATTCGTAAAAACAATCAGTTACTGTAAATTTTAATGGGTTTCATAGAAGATATGTGAAGTTTACATGTTATGACAAATCATGGAGACTGTGTCGATATAGGTATCTATATATCTCTAAACATTGACTTCAGCGGCTTAGATATGTGCTATGAATGTTATTTCATGGAATTCCACATTGTGCATTATTTGCCGACGCTGGAAAAAGCTGAGAGGTCGTCAGTTTACATCACGTGGTCCCGGGGTATAAAGTTGAATATGACTATCGTCTCTCAGTTGATCACGACTCCCAGGTTAGAGTCCTAGAGATAATGCAACTATTCAGTGGCTTAAGGAGTTATCCAACATGGCTCAGTGGTGGACCTGCTGTATCCTGCTTTTATTTTCTTCATAAAGGTGAGAGGAACTTCTTTAACTGACAAAATTCTCGCCAGTTGTATTTTTATCGACTGAATTGTTTCTCTCATCATCATAAACTATTCACCTTTATTAATTTCTTAAAAATTACACTATTTATTTTCTATCTCTGTATTAGCCCATATTCACTTTGATGCCCTATTCGTACCATTATTTATGTGTTTAAATACGACTAGGCACGGCAGATTTAGTCAGTTTCATAGACTGATTTCAGCCAGTAAAAACGTTGAACTATGCCAAGAGGGACAGTTGTGATAGATGGTGATAGTGGATGACTGTCGTGGAATGCAACGATCCGTACTTGACTGCAGTTGCTACTTAAAGGTTTACATACCGTGATGATTCGATCGAGTAATATTGGTTGGAATATTTGTTCCTTCAGGTCAGTTTCGTCTATATTAAGAATAGAAACTCATGATTCAAGGAACAAAGTCGTATCGATCACATGCCTACTGCAACATTTAAACGTTCTAGGTTTGATTTGTAAAATTTACAACTGAATGATCCCTGAGTACTAGTGATCCTTCGTGATGCTTATCAGATTTTATCGATCGATTTGAAATGTGATCCACTATCCTAGATTACTTAATATCGTGTGAATTATATTGAAATTGTAAGCGGTGACTGGTGGTAGTCGAAAGGAAACCTTGCTTGATCTAGGTTTCGTGAGCAACCCGAATAGATTAATGGGAGTATGTGTTCGCTTCAAGATTACAAGTACACCTAACACGAAACTTCTATTGATTTAATCATTTCATTTATATAGACGAATAAACATTGATATAAAGGGGCATCTAAATATTTATGCTTCACACAATTTATTGAATTTGTGAGTGAGTTAGGATACGTTCCGGAAACCCAAACCGAAGAAAATGGTTTTTCTAGGAGGCTACTCCCTACAGGTCTAATTGACAAAGCAGCAGAGCAACTTTAGGATGTCCAGTCCCATAGTAGTACGTGACTAACAGCAACTTCATACGACATTAGCTCCGTCAGGATCCTGAAGTCCACGGCACCGTTGGTTTGGAATCTGTGTTTTCCAACTCTTCTACGTGGATACTCCGTACCCGTACCTGTCAACCATTCTCTGACCACTTTATATAGAGGTAAAAACCGGTTTGATCAGAAATTTAATGTAAATAATGCATAACAACCTTTATTAAAGAGATGATGAGAAACTTACCTTGTGTTAATGATTCAGTTTGCTTCTTTTTAATAGCACTTTCATTTAAAGTTTGATTTTTTAAAATAGGACCATTGGATGATTTAATCGGAGTTGATTTAGCTTTATTTTCAGTGGATGAAACAATTGAGTTTGTTTGATTTAAAACCATAGGTTTTGCAATCGGTGGACGTTTCAGCGGAGATGCAGGTGTTGATTTAGCATTGAAATTAGGTGAACATTGTGAAGCTAATGTAGGTTTCGGTGTGGAAACAGATTTTAATCCAGCCGCAGCAGCAGGTGTTTGAGATTTTCTTGGAGGTCGAGGTCGAGGCGCTGGTTTCTGTGATAAAGATTCGACCAGTTTAGATAACTGTGCTCCGAAATTTTCAATTTTATCATCGAGACGTTTAAATGTATCATTTAAATAAGGTTCAATGCCTATATTTTATTGAAAAACAAAATATGATGTTAATACTTTAAATCGAAGAATTTAATATTTTTCTACAGATAACACAGATATCTAAATCAGTTGCAGTTGTTATATCCTATACACTGACCAATATGCAGAGACAACTTTAGAGAAATCAATACATAAGAAGGACAAGAGAACTGCTACTCTGTGCTTAAAGGACAGTCCAATACTGACTTGCCCTGAACGCAGAGTAATAATATAAGTCTAATGACCATCATTTACTTCACGAGATTCATTATTATATTTCAGACATTTCTTTATATACACATACAATACCAGACCATACATATCACACCAATAAATCGAAAATTAACAATTATACATGAATGAAACAAAAGTAGCTGTGAGTAGGGGGTAGATTGATAAATAATAAACTGTCAACAAATTAGAAATAGTATATCGTATGATCATAGTTTATGTATTGATCGAAAAGAATATTTAAACCTGAATAATAATTATACAATAAGACTATGCAATCAACAATAATAATAATAATAATTCATAAATTGGTTCTCTCAGTTATGAGCATTTTAATCTTCGTTCGGATTAAACAGCAGTAAACAACACAGATCAGACACCATCAGCAACAATGTACTGTGGGAGAAATCAAGAAGAAGCGTTGGAGGTGGATCGAAGACATTTTGCGGAAAGCACTCACCCAATACAAGCCTTCACTTAAAATCCTCAAAGCCAAAGGAAAAGAGGAAGATTAACGAATACATTACGCCGAGACTCAGAGACAGAAATGATAAGAATGAAAACAAAAAATTGGACAGAACTGGAAAGGAAGGCCCGGGACAGAGTACGTTGAAGAATGCTGGTCGGCCACCTATGCTTCAATAGGGGGGTAACAGGAATACGTACGTAAAGTAAAGTAAACAACGCAGAAGCAAGTTTTGGTACTATTTTTGGAATACAGCGTTTCATCTTTTCTTATTTATTCTTCACAAATCATTTGTATCTTGTTTAGTAGTTATAAGGACATCATATGTCTACTTGGATTGCGATAGATGTACTTTTCTTTCGTCTTTTATCAGGTTCTACATTGATCGGAAATATGTACAAAGTTTTTTAATGCAAAATAATTTAGATACATGTTTGATATTATTCCATGATATATTTGAGATTATTAATCCTTGGAACAAGTTTCATTTAAAATATAAACTGTATTTTTCTATTTGGTTTGTTTAGGTAATAATCCCTGTAAAATGTATACAAACGACACATTGTATTTGAATAGTTTCATACTTGGATAAGATCCTTACATTTCTTTTTCTTGACTTATTTAGCAGGTATAACACAGATTGGTGTAACTGGGTTTTTAGAGCTATACACACTAATTGTGATTATTAAATGAGACTTACTAATCGGTTGTCTCAAATCAAAAAAGAACGTAGTAGGTCAGTAGTGTTCGAGCATATGACTGAATGGTTGATAGTTGGATGTGTTTAACCGCTAAGACAACACTGCAGTCTTTATCTACAGTTTATAGTTTATTCTACTGAGCACCTTATTTACATTGGCAGTTCTAATCTAAGGCCCAGAGACTTTAAAATGATATTATTTAACGCAACTCTTACGAAATATTGCATGTTGTATAAATAAATTGTTTTAAGTGTTCAAATGATAGAATCGAATCTCTTGTTGAGCCTACAGAGTAGTTGTTTCAAGAGATAATGATATTTAAAACGATAATAATCAAGAAAAAGCTTCTAAACTTGGTGGGGATATTTTGTTTTCGCACATAATTCGCTTAGCTGACCTTCAGCTTACATTTCCCACTCGGAAAATCCTTGACTGTCATTGGTTGATGCATTATTTTAGTACGCTGTTTTGTAGCTCTCCCAAGGACGTTGCTATCACTGTGTAAATAAGCTTGATTTGTGTGTTTTCATTAACCTCACATTTTCTGAGTGTTTGTCGAATACACTCTCAATGCCTTATCAAGACTTCTTGCTTTAGTTTAAGTAGTGAAATCTTAGACTGAGGATTTGAATACTAGGTGAAGTACTAGCTTCACGAAGCTTCTTGATACAATTTGCTGATACGTGCCATAAAGCATGAAACTGCAGTCTAACGCCAAAACATAATGTGCTCAGCATCCAGTGAATTACTAAGACTAATGGTCTCCTATTGCGATTTGATCGATAGAATTCGATCAGCATTAGAAAGAAATAGATAAACATGATGTTGGTCATTACTCAGGTGACTGACTAATCTGTATAAAATAATTACTTTCACCAAAATAAAAAGTGACTTACTGTTATTTGTGATTTCCTGATTCTGTTTCGCTACGGGTCTAAAAATTTAAACATTAAAAATAATTGACTAACAGATATGGATTTTGATCAATATTAAATCAAATTTAAACTAATAGTACAGAGGAAACTATGATTTTTTCCTGTAAGAAAAAGTCTTTTATTGAAATCATGAATTGGTCAATGTTAGAGCTCCGTTATTACAAACTTGAAAGCACTGGATGGCCGTTTCGACCAAGTATGAGACTCATCAGAAGTGAGTATTCACGACCCCTTCCACCAGGAATTAAACTTAAGACGTTCGGTCTCGCCCGCCAACGTTTAACCTCTTCGCCACTCACCCGGTATTCAACGGCGCTTATGTTTAACTTCAAACAATCCACGATATTGTGAGACCATCATCAATTGTCTTTGGTGGCCTCACGTCCAACACGGTTGAACTTCACCGATCATGGCTTCTTACAAGAAGCCCGAGAATTCCTTCACGAAGCTAATCACAAGTAAGCACATGATAATTTTCATTATACGGTCTTCTACCTGATAAACTCAGTTCTCTTACATGACTAATAAAGAATATGAAAATGAAACTATTCACAAGTGACTATCAAAAATCGATAGCTCAATGGATAACCAGTATTGTATTCCCATTTTATCAAAAAAGTGGTTTACAGTTTCAAACATTCCTTTTCATGATACTATTAAATTGTATACGACAGATTCAGAACATATACAACATAATTTCCAATTATACTGTTGAATTAGTCAGTTACAATTGGATCTTGCTGTTTGTCAAAGTGAACTGAACAATAAGTGTAACAACAGTGTCCAAACACTTCGTTACAATAAGTTATAAAAAAAAGTAAAAAAAATATTTACAACCGATGGTAACATTGTATAGGTAATTTACATATTTGGCATCTTCGAGTTAATGATAATTCAGAAATGTCACCGATGAATGTTGACTTTACTGGCTTGGTTACAACACTAGGTGATTTCCACATAATGCACAATTTACCAGCAATAGGGTGTGATACTTGTGGGTGGTCAGTACATTAGGACATTATGGAACCAAGGATAACTGTAGCAATTTATTGAGATCAATCCTAAGTAGTGATAGCCTAATTATTACACTCAGGTGTAAAGTAGGAATATTCTAAGCATATTAGAAGTTTTTAACACCATAAAGTAACTTACTCATTAATTCTACGGACAGAAAAACGAATGAAAGGAAGTTTGTATATTTCATTGACTCCTGACGAGTTTGGAAGGCGTGCAAGCAATATTTTCGAATTTTCCTCTTGCATTGTTCCAATAAGTACATAATCTGACTCTTCTTCAGTATCATTGTTTGATAATTTAGGTAATGTCTTTTGAATAGAAGTTTCTCCTTTTTCTAGCTTTTTTAAGATTCGCTTAAAAAACTTGGCAAAAGTTGGATTTCCCAAGTCCAAAAGAGGTATAGCGTCATGACAGTCTGTAGGAATATCTACGTAAGCAAGTAGTGCTTCCATTGATTAGATCGATCAAGACTAAATATGAAATCAACATGGTAAAGTATAGTCACGAACAATCGTGTTTAGGCAAATCTAACTGTAAAACAATGAAAAGCTTAGTTGTAAAAGTAATGAGAACTACAAAGCAAATCATTTGCTCACTTTATATGTATTATTATCATATAAAAAACTGTATTAACTGGGTGGTTTTAGTAGTAGATGAGACTGGTATTTGTACGGTTTGATAGATGGATAGTGTACAATAAATAATACAATTAAGTTTCAGTCAGTTGTAACCTTGAACTTGGTATGTGCATGCATCAGGTGCCATGTCTCAATTACTGAACAGAGATAAAATCGCACAGCAGTAGAGATAGTGGTAGTATTGGTGATAATAGAAAACATTAGAGATCGAAAGTAAGATTTGAGAGAATATAAATTAGTGGGAAAAATGAAAAATTATGATGAATTCGGAAACTTAGAATTTAGAAGAAAAAGAACGGATGCACTTGCGCTATTGTAAACGATTTTGAACCAAACCATTTTTCAAAGCCTTTGAACACTGGTTACGATTATAACGCGGAAGGCAATCAGATAGACTATTTATTTATTTATATAAACACAAACACGGATACAAACGGGCATCAAAAATTTCCTGGTATCACACAAATTATTGAATTTGTGAATGGGCTGGGATGCTGCCTGGACGCCCAAACAGAACCGTGTGGGCTTCTAAGGGGACCAAAACCAAACGGTTAGACCTAAAAGTTTAATCTACAAGGCAGTGGAGCAACATAGGATTTAGCCCCATTTTTGAAGGTGACCAACATTAGGTCCATATGCCATTCGTTCCATAAGGATACTGGAGCCCATGTGCACCACTGGATTGTAATCAGGGTTTTTCAACTCTTCTAGGTGGATGCATCGTACCCAGACCAAGAAACAGCACAAATTCATGGTAGGTGTAGACTACCTGGTTGGGCTCTGCAAGATTATAGTAACCGATGGATGGAGACTTTGAATGAAGTGGTTCAAAATAGTTTGCAATGGTGTAGTTACATCCATCTTTTGTCTTGTCCCAAATTCTAATCTGAATTACTCATGACCGTTTTTTCTCTCATTTTTGATTTCTCTGGGATAGACATCTCGAATGATAATCTTTGATTACTAATCTCTGTGGTTACCGCTGATACTTCAAGTATGGGATTGGAATTTACAAGTCTATATCTGTGCGAACGTGGTACGGCAACTTGAACTGGTGTTTGTATGCACGAAGTTCTACTTTTTAGAAGACTGGTTATACCTACCAAACCAACTCAAGTGCCAGATACTCACTTTCTGCCCGCTCATTTTCGTAAACAAAACCTCCTGGCAGTGGCTATATACGCATTTCCAGTGAGGGGACTGTCCTCTATCTCTCGGCCATACCAGGGCATTTGAAGTAATCTGTAACTATTACCAATAAACTCTAATAATGACGGATCATAAGACTCCATCAAGCAAACTGTTACACAAACTAAGTCTCAGTGTAAGTGTTCATTTTTGTCAGATAGCTGATTACTTAAAAGTAATGTCTTTCAATTTTAGGAGTTATAATAAAAGGAGTAGAATGAAATAAACGAGATGAAGTACATAAACTTATTTTCAGTACGGAAACAAGAACCACCAGAAGCTATTCCAACTCATCTAAGCCATTAGTAGCAAAGGTTTGGCGTGTGTAAATAATCAATGAAATTAAAAGGACGCAAATTAGAGACAACAAGCGATGTCTTGGACGGCAAGCGAAATACTACCGTCGTACAACATACATTACACATTCCTCCGCCCCCCACCCTAAGATTAGTATCCTCCTAACAAGGTAGAGGACAGAAAAGAACTTTTAGCTCCTGAAGCCCGACTGTAACTGATACCCTGATGTGGTGATCGGACATGCTTATTGTGATGACCCAACCGAGTTATATTGCCTGGAACATATGTTCCTTTAGGCCCTACCATGCCAGGTAGGTCGGCTGGAGAACAACGATAAGAATAAACGCAACTACTCAAGGTCTATGGGTGAAGTCATAATGATGACTACAGAAAAGTGTTTCCCTCGGACAACCAGCATCTGTGGCGATGCTACCATCTCACAACAAAAGGGGGAGCTTAGAAAGGGTCGACCCTAAAAGTGTTACAACTCACCTTACCTCGCGGATTTCCGTCTCCGGCGGTAGGGCCATTCGAAGAGCAGAGCTAAAACCTCCAAAATATCCCATAAAAAGGCCATGCGTGACCGGCCTCAAGCAGTTGTCTCTTGGGCAGTACGGTCACGATCCGAGGTCTTTAAGGCCAACATTAATCCGACCTCCTTTTCAGGTTCCTTAAAAAAATACCCTTCAACGTTGTGGGAAACTGGGAAGCGGCATCCGCCCTCATACCCGTAACAGCACAGGAGACCGAATCGGTCACAATAAAATCCTTCCAAAATCTCTCTTACCTCCACGACCAATCTTCCTCACATTCTCTGATCACCCTACGCCGCTAATACAAACGATTTGAGTTCACGAAACGTTAATCCTGGTCTCCTGAAAACCCGTTCTACACTATATAAGGGAACTTTTAATAAGCGGACCTGGTTCCCAATAGAACAAAAAGCTTCCTTAGCTACGACTCTAGAATCTCGTGCCATCGATGTATGCTGTCTCCGAAACGCGCATACAGGATCCGAGTAGCGTCATTTACTTGGCCTCTCCATGTCACAACAAAGAAGCAGCTCGATTTACTCTTCGTGTCTGCAAGCCCTGTTACTGCTTCTCATAGCCTCGCTGGTGTATGCAAAGAATCAATGCCGAGGACAGAACTAGCTCTTAGACTGGATTCCAGTAGATAGTCGCTTGTGAGCTGTCCGACTAAATGGGACAGTAAGGACACTCGCCGTTGCATCTTCGTCGTATCCGCCTACACTCCCACTGATTGCAGTTAATACTAGGTAAAAATGAGTTTTACAGAAACCTCTCTAACCTTCTTCAAAAAAATAAGCGCTCTGCTGTAGTAATAATGGCTGGTGACTTCAACGCTCACGTAGGTAGACTCAGTGAAAAGGTAATACACCTGGGTGGATCTTATGATGTTGTGGCTCGAACAGATAATGGTGACCGTCTGCTGCAGCTATGCTGAGATAACCACCCATTTCTAGCAAATACTAACTTTAAGCACAAGGAAAAACATGTTTTGACATAAGAGACCCTCAAAGTTGTACCGATGCTGGACCCAACTAGATCACATAGAAATCAACCACCGATGGAGAGGCTCGATAGAAAACTGCCGCTCACAAGGAATGCATCTCTTTTGGTACTCTTGATAAAATTCAAGAAGGGAGAAACAAGAAGGCAGCAATCAATGTCAGCCGAACAAGAGCGGAGAAAGTTACCGCACAAGCTGCATACACAGAAGCAAACAGGGAAGTGAAGAAGAGCATCAAAGGTGACAAACGAAAATATGTGGAAGATCTAGCAATGACGGCGGAAAAGGCTGCAAGAGACGGAAACTTGAGACAATTGTACGAAAAAACAAAGAAGCTCGCCGGAAACTATCGTAAACCAGAACGACCAGTGAAAAGCAAGGAAGGCAAAGTAATCAGCAACGCTGAAGAACAGAGTGTGACCGTTGGAAATAATCGGAAACCTTGCGTATTTGGACAGTTGTATGAGCGCTGGCGGCGAGACAAGATTAACTTACGTGAAGTGAAAGTCAGAGGCTATGCTAATCTGGACGATAATTGATACTACCTGATGTTGGTCTGGTTGCAAACATTCAGGCTAGTAACGCTAGTAGAACATGATCCTACGGACAATCAGCAAACGTCTTCGAAGGAATGTTAACATTTAATGACCACAATATTTGCAATGCTTCGATTCAATGCACAATGATAATTAAAATAGTAGGTCTTTAAACACCAACTTTGATGGCTTATACACACGTAACGAGTGCTACCTCAACAATCTCCACATAATTCATTATTTACTAAAGCTAGGACTGGTTGGGATGTGCATAGGTGGCCGTTTTATTAACTAGCATCATGGTATGAAGGAAAGTTGTATAGGACTAGTATTTACTGACCAACCACGATCGTGTAAGACCCTATAAATAATGCAACTTACTGGCTCGAGAAGATACTACATAGCTCAAAACAGAGGCCTATGGAGACCATGCTATAGTATACATTCACTATAAAACGAAACATTTTCAGAGTTGGAGTAGTAAGTGGATAGTATATTTGGGCATATCTTATTATTGTTTAAATATATTGCCTTGATTGTACTTCCGGGAAGATGAGTAAGTGCACAGCAATAGCATTCCTGGTAGTGGATGTTATAGACAAGACACACTTGAGGAAGGAGTGAAATTGATAGCACTCAAGTTTACCAAACTGTATGGTCGGAAAAAAGTAGTGAACGCCTGTTCGGATGAAAATTAGGATGACATGAGAACTTTAAGAATTTGGAAAAAATAACAGGATGGTAGTAAGTCAGTATTCAACATCTGGAATCTAGAAGGCCATTGTCTCAATTAGAAACCATATATTGTGGAACAGGTCCAAGATATTATCACAATCACAATCGCAGGTTAAGTAAGACATTCCCTAACTACTACATTAGAATGCTCATAGTTAACGATAATGACAGCTTTCCGCAGTAAACAAAGTCCATAAATCTATAAATTTCACTACTTTAATCGCAAAAATAACATGTTATGAATGCAAAATTGGGAAGTAGGTGATTCTGTAAATTTTGAAATTATGTAAGAATGCAGATAGATCAATCTTCACTGAAACAATCAAGAACAAAACACATGGACTAACCTCACCTTGAGCCACGCGAGCCCCGGCAACCTTGAGATTGAAATTGAACCCAAATAGTTGTGGCTTGATTCAAAAAAACGTTTTGCTCAATGAACCCCGAAAAGTTGCAAACGAACATTAAATAACGTTCTCTTGCCGAGCCACATGCGCGACAGTAAAAATTTAGTATTAGCTTAAAATAAGGACACAGATGTGTAAAGCAATCACAAATAAGAGAACAAATAATCAGTTAGTATTCGATGCTATGTTTAGTTCTTGAGAATAAGTCAATGCTCCTTTCATTGCCATTTAGACCGCTTTATCTATTCTGGGCTCACAGCGTACCACCTGACAGTATAGCGTAAATCCGACAGTATAGCAAAGTTCGTAAGCAAGTAACAGAATATCTGACTATTGTGCTGTCTTCAGGAGTACTTTTATTAAAAACTGGAAAATTTGGGAGAATGTTATTTTTGCTCGAGGATGACCAACATTCTTTATTTTTGTTAAGTACCGGGGACAGTTGCAAACATTTGAACTATGCTTTTTTAACTTAGTAACTAGTGAAAGTATTTATCTGCCTTACTGGACTTCAGTAGTTAGAGGTGCTAATCACGTGTACTGACGTGCTAAGATAAAGCGGTGAGAAGCTATTAACAGAGAAGGAATCGGAAAACTTAAAGTGAAATATTTTAGTTATTGGCTATCCACTCGTTTTAATCCATTCATTAACACAGTAAAACATGAATATATTAGGATCTGAGTGCTGCATATATAATGGGTGAAACACCAATAACAGCAGCTGATCTGATCAAAATCTTTGATGAAAAATACAGATTGAAGACCCTAATTGTCATATCGTCTTTTAAATATGTTTGAGGTTATTACTATTGAGATCCATGTTAGAGAGACAATTATCTAAAAGTGTGCACTTTTTGCTGAAAATTCCGTATTACAGCAAAACTTTAAATAAAGTCTATATTATTGTAGTGATTAATGAAGCTTTTTGCCGATATTTTATTCATTAAAACTACTAGCTGTTCCTAAAGTCTCACAGACTGTGTGAAAGCTTTAATTTCCAAATATCCAAGCTTCGTGCTGGAGCTGTAAAAAGTACCCCAGAGGATGCTAAATAGTAGTTTGTAGTTTTGCGGTCCATCTAGGGGTGAACTTCCTCTATTTAAAATATTAAAGAGATAGTTTTTAGAGTCTGAAGCGGTGATGCTCGGATTTGAGTCGCCTGTCTAATTTTTTGGCTCACATCAGGATACGAAGCGCAATATTTCCATTCTTTTCAAAGTGAAAAGGGAAATACTGAGTCTGGTTGATTAAAGTTACTAAAGTTACTAGCCGGAAGTTTAACAACGATGGAAGAGTTTTCCTCACATATGGCTTGCGGCTTTAGATAAAACGTTAACATAACATCTTTGAACTCTCTGTGGAGTGATTACGAAGAATGAATGAGTGAATAAGAAAACGTTGAAGACAGACTTTGTAGCGCATTGTAAATACTTATCGCTAGATAATCAATTTAGCTCTGGCTACGGCCAAATGTCAGAAGACCAGCTGTGATTGGAGGTCGTAGTATGTTTATCGATGATCTCGTGATATCAAAAAAATATCGAGATTGCAATATAAACCGTAGACGAATCCACCGAGGCTAACCAAGCAATGTCAGCGACATGTGGCGCTGTCAATTATGATTTTTTTAGTACAGATAAACAAAGGAGTGCAATAAATTAGTCACTTGTACTATTGGTTACAATAATAAATGTTTCAATTTCACCAGTCACGTTCTCTTCACAAAAGTATACCACTACTATTTATTCACATTTCGAAGAAGTGAAAGTACGTCTATTTTTGTTCGACTAGTTCAACTTGAGTTTTTTGCCAAGACTTTGGTGACAGACCATATGAAAATCTGCTGTTCTTATGCCAATTAATGTGCGAATAGATAACAGTGAACAGAACGTGAATCTTAAAATTATCTCTTCCCTGCGGTCCAGTCTAATTAACAAGTGTAATAAGTCCAAGGTCAGAAGGAATATTGTATAATCCACAATCATTTCCGAGTGAAAGAATAAGATGCATTCAACTTAAGCGCAATTCTTATAGTAAGAAACTTGTCCTCAGAAGTGTTATAAAATAGTTCAATAAATGTGAAAACTAACCAATGAGATTTGAGGTTCACCCAAGAGGGAAACAAGAACTGGAGTTAATCAGAGTTGATTTTGGAATGAGAATAATTAATTCAAAGTTTCATAAATAAAATACAAAATCAGGAAGTTCGACGATCGATTTCTGGGGATCTGGCATCGTTAAATAACGCTTTAGATAAATTGAAGTATAGTACATCCCTCCTCTTGCGGTAGGGGATATATATCCTCACATCCACCGTGATAAGAAGTTTTGCGTTGGATGATTTTTAATGGAATCACGTACTGCAGGCATGAATAGGTTTGTAAGTGACAAATATCCACTTGTGTAGTCGTAAACCAGGGGTTCTATAACATAAGGGAGAGCTTTTGCACGGAGTTTTGATCGTTTCGTCGGCCAACCATGAACTGGGATTTGTGCTAGCTCCCAACTGACCAGGCTTATTTTCAAAACTGTTCTTCAGCTTATCTTAAGTGCAGGTGTACAGTTAGTGTTCTAATTTCAAATGTATCTGTTCAGTCATTGTTCGGCTTTAAACAAGGATATTTTCTGTTCTGCTCCTTGCCCCGTTCTCTTTATTTTCTTTTTCAGCACCTTATTCCAATCCTTACATATAAGTCTGGATATCTGCCGAAGACTTGGTTACTTTACCCAGGAGCCTGTAAATTTATTATCTGCAGAATATCAACCCGATCTTAGCACATTTACCTCATCAATCCTTGTTATATACACACCTGACTCTACCTTGCATTGTTTCGCACTCATTTGCAGTTTGTCGTAAAGCAACAGTTGTAATTCGCACTAATCATTCGCATTGTGCATTGCAGAGTCTGGAAAATAATCCGTAATTTTATGTGAAAAATTTTAGCCATCTATATGAAGCCAATGTATTTTGTGAAATATTTCGGTAACTGAGCAACGTTATACAAAAAACACGTTCGCATTCTTAACATTTTGATCTTGCCTGTAAATTGGCATGCCTCTTGTAACGTGTTGTTATTTAAGAATAAATTATTATTATTGTTATTATTATTACTATCATTATAATCTTAAGGCCAATATGAACAAAAGACAATGTTTGGAATACTTGGAAATAAAGGAGTTGCTGCACTACCACCGTTAGCGGTTAGACCACCAGAACCCGACTATCAAGAAAATATGACCCTAGAATTTCAAATTATTAGTAATGGAAATCTTAAATATATAGGTTGAGACTCAATTATTTAACAGTTGGGTTAGAATGGGAATTTTAAATGAATTTGTATAGACCATAAGCTGAGTTTATTTGTAGTTTAGTATTCAGTCTATGCATAAGATGATAAATCATCTGTTTTTACGATTTTGACACGAAATTTCCAAACAAAGTTGTTGTTTAGAGTCATCGCTCTTACTTTACTCCGCATTAAGGAATTATAGTAAATAATCTTAATAAATTACAAAGAAGCAATGTTTTGAAATTGATTTCTTGGACTATATAGTGAGCCATTGTTGAACCTTGGAATACGTTTCTAAAACCAATTGTTGCATCCTGTCCTCGTAAGATCTATTCCCTAACAATATCAGCCGCTCAATTTCTCGTTTTTTCACCCAGTCTAGGAGATTTATGTATCTATCAAGAGGAGGCGATGTTAAAACACTGTGAACTTCGATCTTGGGTTGTGCGTATGGTTTAAAAGTGTGTAAGGAACGATTTTCAGGTGGTTACACCGCTCTGTTGCCTTGGCCCAAGCTGTATTCACCTATGTAGTTTAAGTTGGTGTCCAAACCTATTGTGATTACTAGAATGAGATCGATTTCAGAGGAGAAGATTGGGAATAAATTCCCACGAAGGAAGTATGTTGTTTGTTTCACAAGGGATAGAATATTCATGAAATAGAACTTCGACTGATAAAGTTTTAACCCACTATCTACTGCTCATTGCTGTATTGTCGCAATATTCCTCGAAACTACAATGAATCCCCGTTGCTTCTTATAGAACTGCAGATTTTCGCGTCATCTGTATAGGTTAGTGTCACTGTACTGATTTTATCTAACAACCTCTCTGTTCCATTCCTGATATTGAGGCTATATGGCTAATGTTCACTGTAACTACATCAGAAGAAGCTTTCTGTTCCCCAGGTATTTTCGGAGCCAAGATAAAACTGGATAAATGAAACCCACCTTTGAATCCTTTGCTATTAAGCGTACTTGTGGTTCTTTGTCCAAAGATTTTTAGAAGTAAAGGAGTGATACAGTGACCGGTATTTGTCGGCACCAGAAGGTTTCCAAGCAGTTTCATGCTATGATAAGACAGGGTAAATAAAAAACGCCATTCCTAAATACCTGCAGTGCTTTATAAAGGAGTTATTCTTGTCCATGTTCGCTTTGCATAAAAGTTATAATAAAAATTTATTTGCTTAGTTAGTAGGATCTGACATCTTAAGAATGTTATAAGAAAGTGATTTACCTTGATTATTTGGTAATTGCCATTCTATGAAGAGTGTCACCGATCCTATCTTCACCAGAATAATCTTGATCGTTCGTATAAATGGGCAATCATCACAGGTTAGTATATAAATATTTATACTCTCGCAGTGAGCTCCAAAAGGTGTAGGTTCACACGCGTCTCGCCCAGTCCAAGTCCAAAAATGACAGATCTGGGAAAGAACGGTTCCATTTTTAATCAAAAAAAGAAATACAGGCAATTACCAAAACAATATTACATTTTCGAGTCCCTAATCACAACAGTAAGTTCCGATTTCGGAAGAATAAGTGCTTCTAGTCAGTCTCAACGAGCTGCTGCTAGAGTATCAAATCCAAAAATGGCTGTAGCCATACCAAGTATCAATTTTAAACAACACATATATAGTTCAGAAGGAAACATAGAACTTCAATATAAGTAAAGATATAGAAATAATAACAATGT